GTGGGTGGGGTATGGATATTTTCTGGGACTACACAATCCTAAATAAACCTCTTAACCCAAGAATGGAGTCTAAAATGAGTCTCAACAAGAAGGTCTGCTAACACATCCAGCAGTGCTCAGGACTTGGTAATGCAAGTACCTTTTCAATGTTAATATCTGTAGATTCTATTTTTATATCTTTCATCATATTCAGGAAACTGTCATCTTTGCTGTCTCTCTTCTTGAATTCCTCAGCAGTTTCTAGAATAGGTAAGAGAATGAAAAAAGAATGTTAAATGTTAATGTGTACCGACCGTTTCAATAGACCTATCCTGAATTCGCTTGACTGACCACGAAACAATGGTTTTAAGCTGAGACTGAACTTGATTATTTTGTTCATCAAGTTCAACCTCAACTTGAAACCATTGTTTCGTGGCCAGTCAAGCGAATTGTAGATAGATCTATTGTTATCTACTATTTGAAAGAAGTTGATTACAGCTTTGTTTAATGATGAAATACAGAACATTTTAAATTTATCTAACTTTACCACTCTGAAGTGGACAGAAAGCCTTACAGATCTAGGACCTAATTGCAAGGCAATTGATTTTTTTGGAGGCAGGAAAACTGAACATCATAAGATGATGCCCCTCTGAGAGCTCATTGACTCACAATACCAAAGGTATATCATGCATATAAGTAGAGCTAAACATAATGCCATCACCAAGAAGTTCATGTTTGCAAAGCCAAGTAAGAATATTACAGAGACCTGTGGCYGAAGGATTGGACAGTTGCTTGGGACATCAGTTGAGCAAGCGAAGAGACTGACACAGTTCAAAATTGAGTTCAATGGTTTTATACTTGCTTCTAGTTGACTAAGTCAACGTTAGTAGAGAAAGATTCTGTACAGTACTGTCTACAGGTACCACCTTGTAGGTTTTAAATGAAGTGATTATGAAAATTCAGTATATGTGTATGTGTATTTATAATTAAGGCAGCCTAGAAGTTTCTGGTTTTCTTCGCATCTGTCATTGTGGTAGACCAAGTAGTCCATGAATAAATTAGTCAATGTGCAAAGTCGGTTTCAAAGTGTGACTTAAGGCCGGTTTAGACGGTACGATTTTCGCCTACAACTATCGTATACAACACGCTCGCGTCTGTCGTAGGCGAGTTGTAGGCTTGATTTACACGCTATGACTCGAGTTGTAGGATGGYGCGAGCGTGTTGTATACGATAGTTGTAGGCGAAAATCGTACCGTCTAAACCGGCATTAATAAAATCACACCAACGAAAAAATTTGCTTGGGATACCTGTGTTCTTCACTGACAGACTACTTCTGCTCGAAAAAACCGCCAAAAGCCTATTGTAATTCCTCTGTTTTTCTAATTTAATAATATACATTGCTAATTCCGTGCACTTTTCATTCGCCAAAATAAAAAAATATTTTTTATTTTTCATTTTTTTGTGACAAGATTTCAAATTGCATAACGTGCGGTAAATTCTCAATTTTTTCCCGAATGAACTCACCTGAACGAAGTCTTTCAATTGCGTCAAGAGAAGAAGCGTGTTTTGGTGCAGTAATAGGCTTGGATTCTAATAATTTATCGACACTTCCCTGTGTTTGTAAAGGTTTTTTAATCAATCGTCCAAAACGTGACAACGATGCCCCCATCTTGGATTTGAGCCTGCAAGGGGATAACCGCTGATATTTACACAGGTAGCCCGCACTTGAGACCCTAGGTGCACGAATTTTATGTGCATGTCCTTTGAGATCTTGAATTTTATCTAAAATTTCTTTGCAATCATGGCCTAGCAAGCAAAAAATTAGACTTAAAAAATTGGTAGACAAGAAAATTGATGTCATAGCTGTCATATTGTTTGAGTTTGAAGACTTTCAAGCTTTAGTGAGCATTCACCATTTATAGGGAGTGTGGTGGGGTCCTATGGGGGTTTGGAAGATGGTAAAGCTGTATGATATTTAGTATCTACTAAAAGTCTCAGTATTTGGGGATGAGGAGTCAATAAAATATGCTATTTATTTACGAGCTCACCCAGTGGGCAGAAAAAGGCTCAAAGAGCAATGCTCCCCAGCTGAGTTAACCTTCCGAAAAAACTCAAGGTCAACCAATCAGAATTGAGGATTCAACATCATATTCATTCAATTAGCATTTCTCATGATTCTGACARGATTTWWTTTTTTTCATTCTTTAAATTGATYGTAAATGCTACTAGTTGAAMTCAAGGCAGAATTCTAGTTCATTCAACAAGAGAAATCTACATTGTACTCAGCTCCTGCTAAGAAAATACTAACCAAAGATAGKTGACCCATAATTCCTTTCAAGGAACGCAGTCAACTCAGCTGTCCATTATCCATAGCCCACACATCAGAAATCATAAACATTCCCTTAAATTTTTTATTGAAGGATCACRCTTGGCTTATTAATGTATCTCTTCCCAATATACATAACCCTCTTGAAAGTTTATGAATCAATTATACATTGACAATATTTTTTAAATATGTTCGCAATGAAAACCCAAGTAATTGAATAAAATAAAACAATCCAAAATATATTACTCGTGAAGAAATTGTTGATATAACGAAAAATAAATACGTAGCCCTATTAAGGCTTTGCACCATCACGTGATGGCAGCCATGACAGGAGGCAGGAACAAAAACAGTCTTTTTCTCCAGGGAAAGTGAATTCTTYCTCGTGTAAATCAAGTTAGAAAGTATCCACTTTTCCTGCCTCCTTTCACGCTGGCATCACGTGATGGTGCATAGCTTCTATACACGTACATCCGCACCGTTCACGCGCCGCGCGCAACTCCACGCACCAACACAAGAGATAATTCAATTGTCATCGCATTTTAAGCTCCTACTTCGTCGACTCAGTAACGGAGGATGAGGAACAGAAGAAAGAGTCCGCGCACGCGTCGGCGAACTCAGAATCCTAAATTTATTTTGAAAATTCTTTTTCTTGTTCTTTTTTCGCGAAGACGCCCTCCGACAGGAAAGGGGACGTTTGACGCGCTGCACCAAGCCGTTAAGGACCGCCATTTCCTCGAGGACTCGCTTGTAAGACAAGATATCTTTTAGAAAGTATGGCAGACGAATGCAGTCTTGGCGAGCAATGCGTCGTATTCTGTGCAGTTCATCAGTACATATTTTGCCAGCGTACAAAAGTTTAAAGTCGATTTCCTGAGCTTGGCGCAGAATTCGGACTGCTCCTGAAATGATTGATTTATAGATTGGTTGGCTGGTTGATTGATTGGTTAGGTAGGTAGGTAGGTGAGTAGGTGGGTGGCTGGGTGGGTAGGTTAGGTAGGTAGGTAGGTAGGTAGGAGGTAGGTAGGTAAGTAGGTAGATAGGTAGGTAGGTAGGTAGGTAGGTAGGTAGATAGGAAGGAAGGAAGGTAGGTAGGTAGGTAGGTAGGTAGGTAGGTAGGTAGATAGGAAGGAAGNAAGGAAGGTAGGTAGGTAGGTAGGTAGGTAGGTAGGTAGGTAGATAGGAAGGAAGGAAGGTAGGTAGGTAGGTAGGTAGGTAGGTAGGTAGGTAGGTAGGTAGGTAGGTAGGTAGGTAGGTAGGTAGGTAGGCAGGTAGGTAGGTACCTTCGAAGTAACACTGGTCCTGACCACTTCCACCTTGTGCATTACAGTCAGGCAGTAAACGCTTTACTCTCATGACAAGCTTCCAGCGCTGCTCCAAATCACACACGTGAGTACCAAGATGCTCAAAGAGTTCTTTAAAGGACATTTGAAGGGACATACAAGCGGTGTCTGATAATATAAGGTCAAGAAGATGAGGGATTAATTTATCACAAGCATGACCCATGCAGCTAGCTGTTCAAAGCCTCGTTCGTTCACAGATAGCCCAAGGAAAAGATAATAAAAATCACTGAAGGACTTGAAATCGCTTGTTGGCATCATTTGACTCCCACTAACAAGATGCTTTGTGAATTTTCTTTCTAACTTAAAATTGTATTTCCTCATGAGAAGTAGTGAACTGATTAGCTTTATTGCCGAAAGGTAGGAACGTCGCATATGGTACAAGGTTTCATTCCTACCAATAAATAATTTGATTCACGTATTTGTACCATACATAAAGTACCACACGACTAAAGCCTCACAATTAAGTCTGTATTTTAAGATATAACGTGTCCTATCAGGAAGGGGGAGTTACTACTAATCGAGCGAGTCGCTTATTTCCCGCCAAAAACCCTCGGATTGCTTTCGTATCCGGGAAATGAACTCGAGCAACACTCGGACTAGAGCATGTGGTCTCTGAGACGCCTGTTCTAGTGATATTGCTTCCCATATAACAATGATTTATTTGACTACATTAGTCAAATGAGAAGCCATTTATCAAGACTTACAGTACAGAAGTGCAGGCGCCCACAGCATCTTGACATGCGACTGTAATAAAGTGTTGATGGCAGCTAGTCCTTCCTCGCAAATAATACCACAGTACGACTTGGTAGGGCGAAGACCAAACTTCTGTCGATTGGAATACCACGGCTGAAGGCCATCGTTATTCATTCTCATCTGCGAAGTAGATTCTTTAGTGAAGGAAAAATATCGTGTGGAACTGGAAGAAGGCTTGTTGTTAAATGAGGTTTAAGAATGACTGAGTGAATAAAAGAATAAACGAAAAAAAGGGTGAATGAAGAAAAGTAGAAATAAAGCGGGATGGAAAAACGAACGAACGAACGAACGAAGAATAAAAAAACAAACCGTTAAAGGAAAGAAGAGAAGTGACAAAAAAAAAAGAAAAAGAAAAAAAAGAAAAGAAAAACTCGAAAGATTTTTTTGAAAGGAATGAAGAAAAAAAGAGATTTTTTAGTAAGAATGTTATTGTTTCCTATACAAAATCCGTGCCAAACACAAACAAAGCCGAATTTTTTTAAAAATGATTCCTACCTACTTTCAAATCTGTTTACTACAGAGACATTAAATAAACATCAAAAACAAACACCAAAGATAACTTATCAACGTAACCAAACAAAGTTAGGCAAAAACTTGAGATGTCCAGAGCAAAACAAATCCTAATTAAATGATTTTAGTTTAAAAAATAAAAAAATGTAAAAATGTCAATGTGAAAAAAATTAGATAAAATGAAATAGAGAGAATGAATGAGAAGGATAACAAAGCCAGAAGATTTTTAAGCCAATAGTAATATAACTAGTTTGCTAAGTGCCATTAAAAAAAACATGGCGAAAGATTAAAAGAAAAAAAGAAAGAAAGAAAGAAAAGAACCGAGACTAAAAGAAGAAAGAAAGCAGCAATGAAATGCAAAAGAGAAAAGAAAGGAATAAAGGAAAGAAAAGAAACGAAACCCGATGAAAAAAAAACTTCCAATGCGTTACATTTTATAATGAACTGATCGATGACATTCGCACTTGTTTCGCCCTCAAGTCAACTTCAAGTGACAACCAACGAAATTAAAGATTTGGCGTCAAAAAGTAAAGCAATAAAGATCTTTCTGCCAATTGTTTCTAGAAAAAAAGATAGGATTAATGGTCTGGTGCTTGTTGTCAGCGCTAGATTAATGTCTTTGAAGTTGTTAAGCCTTATGTTTGAAAAGTGATCGAATCTTATCAGTCAAGCAAACTAAAGATTTGCTTAATAAAAATCAATTAAAACAAACCTCGTTTGACTTAATGTAATGTTTCGCTGCCAGTAATAAAAGAAAGCTTCCAATCTGAAACTAAATATCATTTTTTTAAGGATACGAAGTGTGTCCCAATTTCATGGTCGGCCAGACCTCGGATTCCTCGTTCACGAAGAAAAATATTATCTTCAGTTCGCTTTAAAAATAGTGTAAATTTGCGAGCTTCGGGTCGATTGAAGCGTACATTGGGTCCATGCCAAACCATTCGTCCACTGCAGTTCAGATCGTTCGTCCACACGATATTTAACTGTCCATCGAGTCCATGAGATTTCACGTAGTTTATCATAAAATCTGTGGCGTCTGCTTGATTTAGTTTCTGTCCAAAAGCAGCATCTAAAAAGTTATCTCCGCTTCCGTACTGCTGTCGAACGTTTTCAAGTATTATCTTTGCTTCAGGAAGGAACTCAAATCGCACGTTTGTCTTTTTCTTTTTAAAGTAATTCTCCACGGAGCCAGTGAATTTGAAGCTTGGAATCTTACCAAATCGTAGAAAATTTTCCTTTTGTTCTTCGAGGTTTGTGATGTGTAAAGCGGTGCGATGTTTTGAAGGGGTTTCATGGAATACTTTAACCGAGGTCCGTTTTAAAGGGTCAAAAATATAGCGAAAAACTTTTGGCTCGTCTTCCTCCATTGATACAGGATCTCACAGAAAAGTTAAAAAGTCTCTTACTATTGAATTTGGATGATGAACGTTTAGTGTTGTCATTACGTGAGAAGTGCTAACAGTTCTATTGTCGCTTTAAAAATTTCGCCGGCTGACAAAATAGTGCAAACGATGTAACGCTAGACGAATGAGTACAAACGTTGTCATGGAAACGCATATGGCGCGCGCTCCAAAAACAGACCACAGACATACTAGCAAACACATTACTGTAATGATCGATAAAAGGTTATTTCAACGTAGTTACAGTACCTCGAGGTGTTTCCCGATAAAACGAAATTAAATCTTAAAATTTAAAAATCATATTTATGATTATCTTTATTATTATAATTAACTTCGATTTCTGATTTTTTTCTTTGCCTTTAAGAGTCCTTTTTCGACTTTTTAGAAAAGCTTTACCTATCATTAGAAACTTTAAGTAAATTCCCTGAAATTTTGCAAAAAAGTGAAGCCAAACTTGTTTTATTTGTTCATTTTTTTTCAATCTCAATTTCCCACTTTTTTAAACCAACCTCTCAGATTTTCTGACCATTTAACTACTTAATAAAAGAAAGTAAGTTTTTACTAAGCTCTTTTTTCAAACGATGCCTTACTATTTTATTTTATCATTTTTTTAAAGTTTTAACTCCTTTTTAGAAAAATATTAGTTACTTTGTATATTTGTGATTCAAAAAGGTTTACGGTTGTTGGATAGTAATATAGATAACTAAAATAATAGAGAATGGGTTTCTTGACATCTCTCCCTCTTTCTCTGGAAAATAACACTGGTTGAACTAAAATATTGATCTGGCTTTGGCATTATTTTACAAAATATGAATTTTGAATTTTGAATTATGAATTTTGTAAGATGTGTACATTCTGAATGTCAAGAATGATTTTGCTTAGCTACTCGCAATAGTCCTCTTTCTCATTCAACATATCAGTTTATCACAGTCTTTTGATGATCACAGACTCATTAATAAAGGTATAGCCTCATTTATAAGTCAGTCAGTTATAGATAGCATTAAAAGTTTGAGAGATCTAAATACAATGGTATTGTTCAAGATTTACATTCTTTACATTACAGTTGACTTCAGTGAATGATTTGCTCTTAAACCAGGCTAAGCCTGTAGTCAAAAAACACAACATTCCTCATGGAATAAGAAGATTTATAGAGGGATTTCAGCAGCGATGTTAGTAAACAAGGGCAACGTAATGCATTTTCAACAGGAAACATTTGCACTACAACATGGTCGCTGCAAAAACTTGATATCAATGTTTACAAATGTAATATATTTATGTAAATCTTGCTCTCCAGACTCATGACCTAAGCATGGATGCCAGGTATTTTACTAAGAGTTGAGGGGATGGAAATTCTAGACTTTTGGGATGCTCTCCCTTCCCTCCATGAAAAGTAGATTTTACCTCAAAATCAGGTCACATATAACAAAAATAGCTTCACAGTCACACCCACAAAGCAGATGCCGAGACTCAATATCCAGTGAATTGATTGACAGTCTATTATCTGAGAGTAGAGAAAAGGTTTCCATGCGGTGTTTGGTTGCGTCGACAGACAGCCATGGACTGACAGCTGATATTGACGTATCCATACCATTAACCATACTAAGATTGCCTGTCATGTTTGGGTTGAAGGTTTGGTTTGGTGCGAGTGATGATGTAGCCATGGATGTGCCATCCCATTGCCATAGAGAACCATCTTGTGAGCAGCTGAATAAATGGTCTGGTTTTTGTGGATGAAATTTAACTTCCCACACTGAAAAAAATATAAACACATAAATAATCTATCATTATCATTATCATCGTCATCATCATCATCATCACCACCACCACCACCACTATCATCATCATCACATTCATCATCATTAACCTCACCACCACCACCACCATCATCATCATCACCATCATCATCATTAACACCACCACCACCACCACTACCACCATCATCATCATCATCGTCATCATTATTAACATTATTGCATCAAAATACAGAACATTAATCAAAGTGTTTTTATGGCATCATTGGAAAACATGAAGTTTTTAAAAGCAAATGCCTATGGAATGTCATAAAATGCTTGATTTACGTCCACCAAAACCTACTTAACTGTGCCAAAGATTTCACAATTCTTCTATATAGAAGCACTGTTCTAAGGTTAAAGCCTAGTGTACTCACATTCTGAGTTGTGTCCTTCCAGTAAAGTCACAGGGTAATGCTCTCGTCGCATGTCCCATATACTAAGTACTCCATCTTGGCCCCCTGCTGCTAGTAGGTGTGGCTGTGTAGGGTGTTTATCGATACACAGTAAGGGCACCCTGTCTCCTGATCTGTTAGTGAAAAATAAATAGGCATTTATCAGTCAGCTTCCCGCTTGAAATCATGCTTAGACATGACTATTATAGTGTGGTTTTCAATACAAGCTGGCAGTGCTAATCTAGCAGAGTATTTTACATGAACTCGCCACCTATTTTGATTAGAGTTCCCCAAAAGTTAGGGAAAACATTGTCGCTGGCCCTCACTGCTCCCTGCATATTCATTACATTTTGCTGCTTACTCAAGCAGGTACTGAATTAAGCCTGTCATTTGTTAGCTACCCAGACCATTATTTCTCAACTCAAGACAGCTATATCAGCGCAAGAAAAACACTGGCAGTGTATAAAGATCCGAAAAGCTATTCAATATGATGCACCACCTCCCTTAACAACAAAACTGTTTAAGAAAGACTAAACAATCTTCTATTCTCAACATTATAGTTTTATCTTTAGAAAGTAATATCAAACTAGTTCTATTCTTTATACACAACACTTTCTACACCACTCATGTTTCTTGTACTAGATTGACTACTTTGACGATGCTGCAGCTATCTTTTCAGGGGGRAAAACAAAACAAAGCTGATGGAAAATATATAGAGTTTGGTGTGTTTTTTTTATGGGTAAAGGACTTCAATGTGTTGTCTTAATAAATCTTTACTTTTCTTTTCATCTTTATGTCAGCACTGTAACAAAGCTTTATTTGCCCCCTGGATGCCCCATAATGCCTTGCAATCCAAGATGGCCGCCGTATTGTCAAAGCAGTTCATTGTTAGCCTGCGTCACATCCAGAATTTTCTTTACGAAGAAAATTCAGGATGTGAAGCAGGCTATTCATCTTAAACTTACAGCAACATGGTTTTGCTTGCTTTGTCAGTTCCTTGCCGGAGATCCCATAACTTGACTTGTCCACTCATTGTAACACCAATCACTTCATTGGTTGTTGCATATGTTATGCCGTTGATAGAGGTGCTGTCTGCTGATTCTGAAGGCGATTGACAGATGGACCAATAAATGGGTAGGTGGATGGATTCGTAGGTGGGTTAATGGATTCGTAGGTGGATGGATGTATTGGTAGGTGGATGGATGTATTGGTAGGTGGGTGGATGTATTGGTAGGTGGATGGATGTATTGGTAGGTGGGTGGATGTATTGGTGGGTGGATGGATGTATTGGTAGGTGCATGGATGTATTGGTGGGTGGATGGATGTATTGGTAGGTGGATGGATGGATTGGTGGGTGGATAGTTGATAAAATATAACTTAGAAAATATATATATACTTATTTCAATAAATAATAATTTATAATTAGCATCTGCATAAGTTGCTTGATATACTGCGCACATCAGCTCAATTAGATACATATTTCAATAAAGTTAGTCACCTGAAAAGCTACAAAGCTGAGACCGACAAGGATTAGGGGTGGATATATTTTACATCARTTCCAACCACTTGATAACTGTTGATGGACTTGCACATCTTATACCAGTTACATTCTCAYCTCTTCTGAGCATCTTCAAGCTTCAGTTTGCATCAAGAAAGCTTTACCTGTTTGATATGAATCGTTTCCCATGATCCTCATGGATCACAGCTTTATAGGGAGGTTTTTGGTGACTAAGTTTATTGAAATAAGTATATCAATATCAATACAATAAAAGCCATTTATAAACAAAATATTATTCTCATTTTTACACATTAAAATGTGTAGTTCCAGAAATTATCCATACCCCTTTCCCTCCCACCACAGAGAAATTTTGGAATTTCCAAGGGGTAGTGGGGTAGGGGGGTCAGAGAAAGAACAAAATTACAGAGTTTGTATGGAAGAAAATTGGAATTTCCAGGGGAAGGGGGGTCTTTAGAAAATTCCTCTGGGGGGGGGGGGGGGGGGGAATGAGGGGGGGGGGGGGGGGGGGGGGGGGGGGGAGAAGTATGGATGATTTTTGGAACTATACGATGATACAAACCTATTGTTCTGACTGGATGAGATTTGTCCAATGACAACATATTAATTCGACCATCTTCTCCTGCTGTTACCATGTCAGTAGTACCTTTATTGACAGCAATACATGTGCATGAACAGCCTTGATTGCCGAGATAATGGAGGGCATCCCAAGACTGATGCAAATGAAGTGACTGGGGAAAATGAATGGATGGATGAATGAATGATATAGAAAAAATGATTTCTGTGTTTGATTGATTGGAAAGAATATTAAGAAATAATAATATTAATAAATATTAATAAATATTAATGTGACAAAACTTAAGGCAAGGAAACATTTTACTGAACAGCGATGTTTCAGGGTCATATAAAACATTTCTTTGCCTGAATTTTTGTTAATTATGTTTTTCAAAATGTTTGCCGATAATAAATATTAAGAAATTAATAATCCTCTAAGTTATAGTTTAAAGCTTGACTTGAAGTTGTGAAAGGCCCATTGGTCCTCTTCTTCAATCGTTTCATACAAGGCATGCAATTTACCTATTACGCATGTTCTTATATGATTTCGGAGCCCATCCCACTCGGCTTACTGCCTCATCTCTCATGTGCTTACCTTTTTACGGAAGTTGTGATGATATAGAGAAACTGTACCAGTAGATGATGCAACAATAAGTCTTTCTCTGTCCAAGAACTAAGGCATAATTWAAAAAAAWAAATAAATAGACTTTTTCAAATCAGTAAAATACTGCTATAGACCTCTTGCATGTGACGTAAAAGCAACTCGATCTRGGGTCCAAAACAAAAGAATTCCAATCTCCTGAGAACTAAAACCTATTGTTTTGTCCTCCAGATTGAGCTGCATTCCAAAACGCTGCAAGATGTCTATATTCCTATTGATAACTGGCTCATTTACTCAAAATATTTACAAATATTAATGGTAAAGTAAAGAATGTACAAGTTTAACAATACAAACTCTTTGAAATTCTATGGACCTTTACTGGAATACGTGAATATTCTACACAAAATTGAGGCAAACTCTCAGCAATGGAGAACTTGAAACTGGAGTATTGATCATCACAGTGAAATATGTATAACGTAAATTTTATAGAATTTATAAAGTTTATGAATAGAGTACTTATTTTCGTTTTTACCTGTAAATCTGAGACATCACCAATGTGGTCTGTTTCACACACCAAGACTGGTTCGTTTGGCAGACCAGCCTTCTCTTTCAGTCCATCTTCAGAATCCTCTATCCTCCATATACACACTTTATTGGATGGCTGTTGTGAAAGATAATTAAGATAAAAGACCTTATTTAATCAGTGTTCCTTCAGCTAGTATCTGATCTTTCAGGTAGTTGATGGTGCACACTTTACTCTCCTCTCTCCATCAGTGCTCCATTTTAAGAGCATTCAAAGCTGAAGTTACACAGATTATAGAGAAGTTGAAACAGAAGTGGAGATCCTGAGGATCAAACCTTGGACCTCTAGCTCTGAAGGCTGCGCACTAACCAACTTGCTTCTAAAAGAAGAGTTAGCTGATAAAGAAAAAATCCTAATGTATAATATGGATAGAAGGAAGGATGGATAGATGAATGGATGGATGAATGGATGGATGAGTGCAGGGATGGATGGCTGAATGAATGGGTACACGAATATTGATGGGTTGAGGGATGGATGGACGAATGAATGGGTGGATGGGTGGATGGATGGATGGACAGACAGATTAAGGATGAGGGGAGGATGAATAATATAAAAATATAATCGATTTATATTTTTTCCCACTTTCACACAAAAAATGTCCGAAAGTTATAAAAGATATTCAAAACCCTATTACCTAGACGATTTAAGAAAGTTTTCAATCTAACTTTGAGTAAAATGCGTAAAAATATATTGACATTTTACAAATCTTGACGAACATCTCACCTCGTCATCCCATCCTCCAGTAGCAAAGGTATCTGAAGACACTATAGAGCCTTGTTGTTGAGGACTCCAGCGTGTTTTAGCCACCTTATGACCGACATATTTAGCTACAACTTCACCTCCAGCCGCCATTTTGTTTGTACAAAACTACGAGACGTTCCTTCCTTTGCACATGGCGCGCTTTTACCAGACCCTTAGCCACCACAGGTAACCCATAATCTATAACAAAAATTGACTTTCATTGAAGAAAACACGAAAAAAGTCTTACCTAAAATCTACTTCAAAAAAGTCATAGGAAATTCGCTTGATTATTTTTCTTCAATACTTTGCGTTTTTGACTTAAAAATGTGTCGCAATCTTTTAGAAATATTAGCGCAGACTCCCTATGGTATAACATTCCCTGAAACCCTGATCATTGCTTTAAGAATAAAAGAAAAAAATTGGCGTTGATCAAATATTTAAAAGACTTCTTTTAGTAATTTTTTTTTCACCGAATTAATGTATAAACTGCTCATATGTAAGTTCGTAAGTTCATTTCTATAGCGTGGGTTCCCTGTGTTAAAGAATACCCGCTGGTATGTATGACAGCTGGCTCATTTCTTCTCCACGCGAAGTTTCCTCATTTTGTTTTTGTGTGTTGAATTCTTGATTTTCTACAATGTCTGCGTTTACTAAGGCTAAGAAGTCTTTCCAGAAGAACCACAAGGAACGAGGGCAGGTAAGAGAAGCGATCAGACCCGAAATACCAAAGAATTTCGCCTGAACTTCAAAAAATCAATGGTTAATATTTTTGGTAAAAATTTCTTAACATTTTTACCCCTTCATTCTAAAAAAATATTGATTTTCTTTGGAAACTTAGTCGCAGTATTGTGAGACAAGTTTTAATTGAAAACAGACGAGTTAAATAACAGTGAAACACAAGTTTTCATGTCGAAAAAGATCGGGAATTTATATTTCTGTGTGATTTTATTTTTACAGTTACAGAAAAGAAATAAACTTGGGCTGTTAGAAAAACATAAAGACTATGTCTTGCGTGCCAGGTAATGGTTTATTTGATACTTTATAACTTATCATTATATAACTCACATGTAGGTAGTATGTATGATCTGATTGGTCAAGAACTGTGCTTTATTGGTTAGTAGAGCACACGTGCTAATGCTATCCACRCATGTGCAAAAAAACTTTGCAAAGAACTATAAGGAAAATAAGGAAAAAGTATAAAAAACTATGATGGAATCTTTCTCTCTATATAATAAAACAAAAAGTAATTACAAAAGCTTTTTTCCCCCATGAACTGTTCAGTACAGCACTTTAATAGCATTAGCATACTTTATGAACGAACCACTTCCCCCCTTTTGATTGACGGCATTCACTTTTTAACAAAGTGTAAAATCACAACTTATGTAGGGCTCAACTACCTTGATCATGTTGGGAGAAAATTAAGGGAAAAACTGGGTCGGTGTCCACTGGTAGAACGAAGCTTGGGATTGGATAAAATATCAAAAACAAAGAAACCATGGATTATGGTGAACAATGTGTATTGTCCTACATGTGAGCTGCGTTCTTTGTTTTATCTCACCATTCATTGTTTGTTCATCCACTCCCAGGCTTCGTTCTGCCCGTTGTGGATTACCCGAAGAACTCCAGCAGTGAAAACTAAGACAATTCTTGTTTCTTCTATTTTAAAGTCTCCAAGTTGTCTTGGGGACAGGGATTTTAAAGAAACAATTTATAACCAGTTGTTAAACTTATTCCTTGGTATCAATCAGCTGGATTAATCATTCAAGCTGGTGAAGATTTAGAGTGTATTTTGAATTTCTTTTCTTTTTTCCTGTAGAGATTATCACAAGAAACAAGCCAGTCTTAAAACCCTTAAAGAAAAGGTGAGGCCATGGATGTTTATTTTAACCTTGTTAGTTGATTTTTTGATAATGAATAAGGGAGATTTGGATTGGGGTAAACATCTGTGAAATTCAAAAAATCTTGCATCTTTATATCATATTATCACCATCACCTTCATCGCCACCATTATCAGTCGCCATCATTCTTATTATTACCATCATGATAATGGCAATTAGTCTAATCCAACCAGTGGTCAATCTTCAATGGTGCATTCTGATTGGATGAGCTACTACTAGGCTATAAGTTATATCCTACTAGTAGAGAAAAGTGCCAGCTTTGAAAACCAAAACTTTAAATTTAACTTTAATTTAAAACTTGTTTGTATCTATATATGGAAAGACTAGTTGAATTTGACTAAAACAATTAGTCCTCTCGCCCTCATAGCCTGTAAAGCCAATAGCCCTTTCGGGCTCAAGAACTAATTGCTAAATATATTATTATTTATAATAATTCATTATTATTTGTGTTGTTATTTCTGATTGCAACTATCATTCATAATATTGAGAATATTTCATATTATGTATCAGGCTCTCAATAGAAATCCAGATGAATTCTACTTTAAAATGGTTAATCAAAAAACCAAGGTATGGCAATAAACATTATCTTATCTATCTTTATACACAAATACTGTTCTCAACTCAGAGAGGAGGGAGGTTTGGATGTCTCTGTCTTTTGCTGTTACATTGACTGCTTGATTAAAAACGTTTGGATTTCTCTGTCTTTTACTGTTGCATTGACTGCTTGATTAAAAACGTTTGGATTTCTCTGTCTTTTACTGTTACATTGACTGCTTGATTAAAAACGTTTGGATTTCTCTGTCTTTTGCTGTTGCATTGACTGCTTGATTAAAAACCTTTGGATGTCTCTGTCTTTTGCTGTTCCATTGACTGCTTGATTAAAAACGTTTGTGGCCAACCACTCAGTCTCTTGAGCTATAGAGGCTTATAACTGAATTGTTCAGCTCTCAATTGAATTGTAATTAGAAGTTAATTTTTATATAGGAAGAAAACCAGATAACCCTATGAAAAACCCTCTCAGCATTCCATATGCGGATGACTGTGGAGTTTAAGGCATAACTATGAAATTTTTTTGGGGCATTCAACAGCTGACCCCATGTAGAATCATTACTGAGAATATTGTCAGAAGAGTGATAGGCACTTTTAATTGAAAATTATGGTGCATGTGATGTAATGTTGTATCAGGATGGAGTACATCACAAGACAACGGGGAAGAAACACGCAGCTAAGCAACTAAAAACCATGAAGTCTCAGGACTTGAGTTACTTCAACACAAAAAGAAACACAGAAATGAAGGTAAAAAAAGAAAGAAAATTAGTTCTTACACCACAAACATTTTTCACAGGGAGAGAACACAGTGCATCATGGTCTAGATTGGGTAAAAAAGTACAACATGCAGTTGTTGGACCATAGACATTTTTTGAGGTAGAGAACACAAGAGCTGCATGGACTGTTGGCCTACCAATGGATTTGGCAGGAATTTTATCACCAAAACGTTTGTTCTCCAACTCTGGTTTCTCCCTACACTACTAGAACACAGTCCATTCTAGTCTGTCTTGGATGCAAAAATTTTTTTGTTCATCATGCCTCATGGTGTTGTTTGTACCCAAGATAGGTCATGATGCAACTTGATTGTCAAAGGCCTATTTTAAATTTAATTTCTAGTTACTTTGCACTAGTTACATTAGAGTGCTAAGATTTCGTTTCCAATGTCTAAAATATGAATTTTTAACTAATAAATGTTTTGCTGACACAGAAGAACCAAAGGAAACTTTTATCTTCTTCTAAAAGAAGTTCTTTTTCCTGTAGAAAATAGAAAAGTTACAGGCTAACCTACATTTACTGGAAGACCATGATGATGAAACGCCACCAAATCAACATATTATTTTCGTAGACAACAAGAAAGAAGGTGAAGAAAAAGGATTGGAGTTTGTTTTTACTTTGGTATTTTCTGTTGATGGATGAATTATTGTTTTATTAATATTTTGTCATCATTTATTTATATCATCACATCATGAATATTGTTATTGTTAACAGCCAAGACAATTATAATCATTGTTATTACTGCTGCTGCCTTCATCATCATCATCATCATCATCCCTATCATCGCTGTACTCAACATTACTATCATTTAATATTACCACTGTCGTCAACCATCACCATCTTTGTTATCAACCACCATTACAGTCATCATTATCAACTATCATCACCATCATTGCAGTCAATCATCACTATATCATCATCACTGTACTCAACATTACTATGGTCATCATCACCATCATGCATTGTTATCAGTGACCATTACAATCATCATAGTCATCACCACTATTAGTGCCTTTCATCATCATCATCAACCATCCTTACCATCATTACAATCAATCTGATAATCATCATTATCATCAAACATCACCAACGTTGTTATCAACCACCACTACAGTACAATCATGCCAATCATCATTATCTCCACTACCACTACCACTTTACAGTCAAACCACCTCAAGCGTGAACACGTAGAGGTCATTAATGCGACTTTATTTTTGGATTCTTGATTTCATTATTTGATTCAAACATTCATTAATGAAAACAAATCTTCAATATTCAAAAAATAATAATAATTTGAAAATTCGATTAACTTGGCTTGTAGGCTCTTGTTTATAGCGCAAACAAAAGATAAGTCATTAATATTACATATTCCTTGCACAAAAAGTTGTTCTTGCATTTCAGTTGCATAATGCTTGGCTTTTGTATATGCCAGGCTTTGAAGATTCGTTTTCAATAATGRATGTTCRAATTGAATAATGAAATCAAGTATCCAAAAATAAAGTCATTAATGACCTCTACGTGTTCACGCTTGAGGTAGTTTGTCTGTAATCATCATCAATTGATTTATTAACTATCATCACTCATCATTACAATCAATTTTATCTTCACAAGAACCACTACTACGTGTATCATTACTTCGTCACCATCATAATCTTCATCAACAAAATTTGTCATTTTTTGTTGCTTTCTCCAGCAAGAGCCTTTGATGCAGCCAAGCACTTCGACACCTTACCTGAACTGGTGTCAAGGACTTACAACAGACCAAAACTAGATACATTGCAACATGAACCTGTGTGTGCAAAAGAAGACAAGAAGACTTTGAAGGTAAGATATCAGAGAAAGGAGACAGACAGACAACAAGACAGACTGAATTATAAAAGGAATGATGAGATTTTCTAATATTTAGTACTAACTTTTTTTTACCATCAGAAACTAGCAAAACGAAGGAACCAATGTTATGAAGAACTCAAACAGAGGATTGAGAGAAAAGAAAAGATGACTTTAATGGTGCAGAAATTAGAACTACAAAAACATCTAATGGTAATGTTGACATATGTTTTTAAAAATCCTCCTAAGCTATGGACACACAGTGCAACATTGCACACAATGTTGCATGCAATATGATGCAATTTGTTGTACGCAACGTTGCTGAAATAGAAAACTATCCTACTTCAGCAATATTGCCTGCAATGTTGTGCACGATGTTGCACTGTGTGTTCACGCCTTTAGTTAACTGACAGTGCTCTCGCAAGAAACCTCTCAGGGAGTGTTTGAGCCAAAAGTGTCAGTGCTCCGTTTTACAGATATTCTTCGATTGCACATTACGTCATCGAGGCCATGTTGGTGCCATTTAACAAAAGATTTCTCATTAACATCCATTGTTAACGGCACCACAATGGCCACCATGTTTTTGTCTTGTGACTCTCTTGGGATTGCTTGCAACCCATCAATTTGAAATTAAAGCTGTTTGCAAATTAAAAAGATTTTGAATCTACTGTGTTATTCTCTGAGGATTGAACTCCAGACGACTTTATTGACATACAGCAAGCTAACTTCATCAAGGCAGCAGTAGTTCCTAAAGTCATTAACGTTTACTTACATGTTGCAAAGTTATTATGAGACAAATAGGAGAAACAGTATCCCCACTTTGAAAACTCAAAGCATACACTGAAAAATTATCCTGTCAAACCAGGTCATCAGCCCTTGCACATTTTATATTGGAGTTTCAATATTATTATATTCTTGATCAGCCCAAAGGTTATATCAAGGTATCGATAATATTGGTTAAGAAAAAACAAGTTTTAACAGTGAAAGGGGGAGTCAAAGTGGGAGAAACAGTATATCGTTTTTTGAAAATTCAAAACATAGAAACATTGTCCTTAGACTAAGCCATTTACTTTCTAATCTTCGTGGAGTTTTGATATTATCATGCTTTTCAACAGCCCAGAGATTGTTTCAGGGCATTAGTGATAAGATTTAAAGGTTGTATTTTCTTTGCAGGGAAAGGGGCATAAAAGAAAAGTGAAAGAAGAAACAGACGAGCAACCTGCAGTCTATCGATGGAAGAAAAAGAGACAAAAATGATGGGATCAAAATTACATCTATCAAACTAATGGGACAAGAGCTTCAGGAAGCAGTTTATGAGGAAATACAAGAACAGATATGTACTTAGAAGTCACGTGAACGTTGTCCACTATTTTGCTAAATAGACCCTTTTTACTGGTACGGCGGCCATCTTGAATTATGGGATGCCGAGGGGGCAAACACGTGGAAAAATTTATAAAGCATAGAGAGGCGGGGTTGCGTTTTCAAATAATTTGAAGTCTTGGTGTTTCGCATATCGTTTATAATGACGTCATATCAAAACAAACTATTGTTTTAACGCTAGGGATCATGCATGGTCGCTTGAGGGGGATGGAATGACAATCAACACATCTTAAATGACAATGAAATTTGGTTTATGAGCTGGTGAAGGCAAGAACAACTAAATATTACGCTAAATATCTTGAAAGAAGAGAATTAAGCTTAAATTCAGCCTAAATTTCTATCATTTTAGCCGATGTGAACAAACTGTGACGTCATTATGAAATAGGTTTTTAGATGTGTTTCTCATTTAAAAGCGTAAAGTTATATTAAAAGACATTCTGACTGTTGGCAGTCTATTCATTATCCAATAGTTGCCCCTCGGTACCCCCGCCATCATGTATTCAAACAATAAAATTCAAGATGACCGCCGTATAGGTAAAAGGTCTATTCAGTGCAAAACAAACGTTATTTGTACAGCTAAAAATATTTCCACACATTACAATAAAAATCATTTATTTCCATTAATATTTGAAAAAATTTCTCTTTACCGTAGTTTTACTAAGAAATTATTTAAAGGCGTAAGACATCACGTGATATACGTGCGCCTGCGTACCTAAGGGGTCAGTTTTTTTTACCATTAGATGAATATAAGATGAGCGATTTAGACCAAATAGATCAGCACCAGACTTGTACGGGCCAGGGTGCTGCCCTTTTATACATCCTCTCCGTCTTTCGATGGTATTCTTGTTTCTTAAGTCGTCGCTCTCGTGATCGTAACGTAGCTGTGTTGGGTCGGGTGGGCGCAGCTGCGTGAAGCACGGATGTTCCACCGTTTTTGGTCGAGTCAAGGCGCGCGAAAAATTGGTCCATTTTCTCTCTGGTTTCCCTCTCTTGTTTCTGTCAAAAAAGAATGGAAGATAGGAAAAAGGTAAGGGTTGAAGCGTAGCTTTGTAAGTACCATAGATAGACAGATCTCCTTTGGCTCCGATAACCTTTTTTGAAATATTTTTGTATATCTGACTTTTTTTTTTCCAAGTATACGATAACAAGCTTTCATTGCAACCAATCACATTGCCCGCCTGGTTCTCATTCTATCAGAACGTTGCACATGACCCCGTCACGGTCACGGTCAAGGCATGACGCGGCTGAATACCCGTGCATTTAAAAAAATTCATATGAAAACTGCTTTTTCTGCATGAACCAATCACAGCGAGCTCTGGATTACTTCTCATTCTATCAAAAATTTGGCGCACGGCCTGTCACGTTTATGTTCATACTTTTCAATTTATAGTAGGAAAACTGCTTTTCATGAACCAATCACATTGCGAGCTGGGTAATTACCTAATAGAGAGTTTTAGATTGACTTTTTTTTCTCCCCGCAAACGGCAAACGTGACCACGTTTTCATAGTTTTCCTTTATTTTACTTTACCTTTTACAAACCTTCTCACCAAGCGCAAATACTCTTTTGTTTTTCTACTACTTGGACTTTTTTGCGATTCTTTTTCAGTAATTTAAAAGAATTTTTTACTGGTCAACTGACGTTTCACGTTTGCCGTGAACGTAAATCTAAAACTCTCTAATATCAGAATCATTGGCGCACGGCACGGTCACTGTATGACTTTATCTAGAGTTAATTACCTTATTGTCTATCAAGCCCTTCCCCAACACAATCATGGCTGTTCTTCTCGCTTTAACACTAGCATGAGCCAAGTGATATGGTTGCCTGTTGACTTCCTTCGCGTCATGCTCAGTCAAAGTCGAACGCCTTTTCCCAAAAGATTTAGCGGCACTCTTAGGCTTTGGACGCCAGTATCGCAGCTGCTTGCGGGCAGGATTTGTTTCCTCATTCACTGTGCTAACTACATTTTTCTTTGAAGCTCTTCTTAACGCTTCGATATCGAGAGGAAAATCTGGCAAGATGTTCTTGATCGATACCTTTCCAGGCGGAAAACTATCAGAAGGACCCCTCGATTTGTACCTATCTTCGTAGCGCGTTCTCCGGGAGCAGACATCCCGAGACGTGCAGGATATTGAGGTCTCTTCCCGCGGGTATCCCGAAGTGACTCTGACTGGTATTTTTCTTATATAGTGTAGTTCAGTCTCTTCCATGTTACTGTAAAATCCACCCCTCTCACTAAAACAGTAGGCGATCGTACCCAAGGAATCTTTCTTGAACGCTTCAATACAATCAAGATCAACATCCCCTTCTTTTACACCCTCTGGCTCTCTTCCTACGCGAGTAGTTTCCAAACCGTCGTGAGAATCGTTTCTGTTATCAGCACATTCTTTCTTAAAACTAAGCTCAGCTCGAGCGCTTTTCATACGATTTTGACTATCAATTCCTCTGGGAAAACGAGTACTTTCCTTTTGCAGCGAGCCAATACTTTCATCCAAGTCTTTATTCTCACTATCTGACTCGATAAGCGAAGCCGACGATTCTGTTCTCTCGGGCACCCTTTTTGAGGGCGACTTAAACAAAGCTTTCGAACTTTTTGTCAGACTTTGATTCTTGATATCATATTTACAGACACTAGGCTGTAGGGAGTGAACGCGTAGAGCTCCATGTGCAATATCTCGCGCGGGCGCTGAAGTTTTTTTTCGTTGAAGGCCTTGTTTAACTTGGTTCGTTTGAGCGGACTGACTTCGTGTGAGGCGATCAGCTTTTACCTTCGTTAGTCGTAGTAACTCTACCTTTTTAATATCATCGACGGACTTGGACCTCGATTGTTGGTAATTCTTCTTCTTCTCTACAACTTCATCGCTCAAACTCTTGTCTTTTTCTTCTTCGTCGTCGTCTTCTTCCTCTTCAACGTCGCTTTCGGATGGAACAAACATTTCAGAATTCTCTAAAAGCGCCCTTAACTTGTGTAAGCTTTCGCTTTTGAAGTTGTCTAGATTCTGATGTCCGCCTCCCGTGACTGAACTGCTCGAGAGAGGACGTGCATGCGCAGTAGGGTCGGTACTGGTTATATTCGGAGTCGCTTCTCTCATCAGGGTTATCAGATCTGACACGGTTTTGCAGGGCTTTGGTTTGATAGTTTTTAAGGTATCGCAAGTACAATGACGCTCTGAAAAAAGGGAATAAAATAAACTTGGAACGTTGGCTTTCTTCAATCTCGTACCCAGAGTCTGCGTTTCTTCTGGCCTGCGGCGAAGAACGAGGGCTCTGGCATAATCCATTTATTAAGACCAGTATTTCTTGGACTTTCGGTATAAGAGCGCAAAGGTTAAGAGACTTTCCAAAAATGAAAAAACGTTCCCGATTTCTAAATTCTATTTTGATCGGAAGTAAACGAAGAACTCTGTCTGTGATTTTCATTGATTATATTTCACTTCCGGAAATTTGCGCATGCGCCAAAAATGGATTATGCCAGACCCCTCATTCTTCGCTTCAGGCCAGAAGAAACGCAGGCTCTGGGTACGAGATTGGGCTTTCTTGAGAATTGATGCACTAGGACATGCGCATACAGCGTGAGTAAGCCGGGCATTTTCGTTTTGAAGGCCCACGTTTTGTTTCCATTGTTGGAAGAAGAAAAATGGGCAGGAAAGTAAAATGTATCATAAAAGAAGATGGGAATATCAAGAAAGTGGGAGGGAGAAAGGATGGGAAAAGGAGTGGAGTAAAGAGAAGGGAAACGTACAAGAGAGTCATCATAGAAGAGACCCCACAAAGCCTACTAAAATGTGATGCCAAGCCCAAGAATTGGCATCGAGCATTATGACGCTTCATACCCACACTTCCAGAAGGCCTTTCTACCATCACTGTTGCCTTAGAGATCAAATTAAAAGTTTTTCACATCCACGCATGTTTTACGACCTACCCTTTCTAATTTTGTCAGGCTGTTGTCTTGGAGACGGTTGAGGCGGAAGTCGGAGCAGTGAAGAATTTTCTCGAAAATCTCCATTGGCGTGAAACTTCTCTCCATACTGACTCCAGTACTCTTCGCTACATTGTGGAGGCAGTTTGACGGACATTCGAAACATGTGTGCGTCCTCTTTGTGTTTATGAATGCACTGTTGCTTTTCTTTCTCCAACTGGTCGACCTTATCCTTCAGTTTGCGATTCTCAAGGGCGAAATCGCGGCCTTCATAAACACCCGAGCCTTGCCTGACGACCGCTTGTTTGCCGGGAAGATTTCTCATGCGATTCATCGCAATTTTATGAAGCAGTAGCTCAGTTTTGCTTAGATTTTGAAGCTTTTCCAATGGATACCCATGTCCTCCGGCCATTTCCGCACAAACTTACATTTTTCTGTTTCTCGTTCGCATAATTTGTTTGCTGACGTAATTGGAATTGTTTCGTGGATAATCGTGCGCGCATTCTCTTGCGCGCGCGTTCCTCTCCGTCCGCTGAGGAAAATTTATCCGAAAGCGCTACGTGTGCACCTGCTGTGGACGAAAATTTTTTTGAAAAGGGGGTTGAAAAAATTCGCTTCCAAAAATATCCAGATATTAGTGAACGGAGCCCTTAATGTCTGTACCGTATTGGTTTTTTTTTTGACTCCCTTTAGCGTAAACTAGTTAAAGGCTTACTTATCTATATCAATAATATAATAAAAATAAAGGGAACATGTTCGCTGGTTCAAATGAAAGAAAATGATAGAAATACTTTTTACAGTGAATCGCGATGTCCTCTTAGCCCGCCAAAAMAAGGCTCTAGATTGGATTGGCTAAGGGCTTCAATACATAATTGAGATACCCAAGGGCCAGGCTAAAATGGGGTTTCTTTGTTCTTTCGTTTATTCTCATTCGTTTTGGAAAAGGAAGAACCCATACTTTTCATCCAAACATTACAATTTTACTCTCTTGGCCCCATTTCTTAAGATTATATTTAAAATGTTGCAACAAAACAAATATATGTGGCAAAATAATTCAATTGTAAAATAGACAATTCATTCCCGATGTTAGTCGTAGTATGTGTCAGTAATCCAACGCAACACAGCACCCAGAGATACAACATCTCAGTAAGACGTTCTTTTATTTTCTTACGTTCATAATTGATATTCAATTTACATTTTTGCCTTCTCTGCGAACCGCCTGTCTCTCTCCTCAGCAATGCTGAGCCTGATACCCTTGCCCTTAGGTAGAGACACATATGGCTTATTGCCCTTGCCAATGATGAAGACGTTGGTCAATCGAGTAGCAAACTGATGGCCAGTGGCATCCTTGATGTGAACAATGTCAAATGAACCTGTGTGGAATATGAAGATAGATTTTATTTAACATATGAAAAAATAGGTAGCCCGTAGCTAGGATTTTTGTTGGGGGGGGTGCTAATTTATAAAAAGTGGACCAACCATATACTTTATTTTTTTAAAGTCCCATAGGACGCATAGGTATAGATAAATTATTAAAGTAAAATTGATTTTTTTTACTTAGTTTTATGTGAAAATATCATACCAGCCAAAATCTCACTTGCTTAAAAAGCGGACCCCCTGCACCCCCTAGCTACGGGCCTGTGTACCCTATGGGTACGTGAGGCTACGGTGCATGAGGTATATGTTTTCATTATCTTTATTATTAGATGGTCTTTGAAGTAGAGCAATTTACAAAAACCCCTGGGGGGAAAAAAAGCAAAAAAGGAAGGAGAAGACAAAATAGAAAAAAAGGCTTACTAATAAAGAGTAATATGTTTAAGTGTGTTTCAACTTAAACAGTAATGATAAAAAGTAAATCATACACCGTGAAAAGACGAAAAAACATGTTAATATGCCAACCATTTTCACAAAAGCTTGTCACCAGTTGCTTTTAACTAGCCAATCGATCTCTGGTTCGCACATGAATAACAAAGGCTTGTCTCACACGAGGTATTGCTATATGCTGTCAATTGTATAGAAAAGTTTATACGATTCAGACTGGAAAAATAGAGATCTCTAGCATCTGGTTTACTGATAACTGCTACAGATAGGCCCAGAAATACGGAGAAACACTTAGCATCAATGAAATTAAATATGGCGGCTCCTTCAGCTTCAACTTCATTATGACAAACTGCTAAATCTTAATAATTTGAGGGAAAACATCTGATGTCAAACTCCATTGTGCTCCATGTGCTAAAAGTCTCTAGAGTCTTACTATTCCAGAACACTTCAACCCCATAGAAATATTCTAGAACAACCTCTTGGCTGATCAGATTCAGGGCTAACACAGAAAGATTGGACTACCCCTATGCCAGCCTTGACACCCAAACAAATGGTTGGTTATGTACAGTATTACAAACCTGCGTGTCTCTCACGGTGAGTGACCATTCCTACACGGCCCATGTTACGACCACCAACAATCATAGCCATGTTGCCAGTATCAAACTTGATAAAGTCTATGATCTTGCCGGTCTTGATGTCAACAACAACAGTGTCGTTCACCTTGATCAGGGGATCTGGGTATCTGATGGTACGGGCATCATGGGTGACTAAGTATGGTACACCTTTAGCACCCACATCAATGCGTTTCACACGCCCAAGCTTGTACTGTAAATTAAATAGCTTCATTTATCAATATACAGATGTGTTAATCGGTATGATACAAAAATATAAATAAGTATATCAACTGTTTGTCATTTCTGTAACTAAGCTTTATCCCCCTGGATGCCCCATAATGCATTGTGGTCCAAGATGGCCACCACATCATTGAAAATAGTTCATTATTGAGGTCAGCTTTTTTGCAAAAAATCATGAGGAATCCGTCATTTACCTTGTACCAATCATTGTTTATTCTCACTCTGTTTGTTTATCTAAGGCTCAGGTCAAATGTTGATCTTCACATGAGCCGAACCTAATTGAAACAATGGATAACAAGACGGTCTTCTTTGATGTTATTAGGTTTGGCTCATGTGAAGGTCAACGTTTGATATAAGCTTTATAGAACTCTTGCTCACCTTGGCTTCTTCACCAGTGATCCTATGGACGGTGAAACGTCCCTTAACATCATAGAGCAGACGGAAGCTCTCTCCTGTCTTCTCGATGGAGATCACATCTGCATGTTAAACAAATGACAGGGGTATGTTAAAGGTGAACCAAATAATTATCTTTTTGACATGGGTGTAATATTTTCCCATTTCACACTACACATTATTCTCTTAAGCATTATTTTTTGAAACGTTTGCTCCCCATAGGACTTTTCTGAGTTTGACAAATGTCAGTCATCGTGGTCTAGCTTGAGTACAAACAACACCAAATATGAACAAAAGGTGTTTGTACCTAAGCTAAACCACAATGCACCTTGTACACTTTGTAATCCAGCAAATATTTTTCTTTAAATAAGAGAAGTTAGATCTTTTTTTGTTATCCAGTAATGGTCATGTGATAATGTGCTGCAAAAGGCCTATTACGATCCTGTTGTAAACTTACCCATAAACCCTGCAGGGAAAGTCACATCTGTCCTGACTTTGCCATCAATCTTAATTAGTCTTTGCTTGACAATCTTCTTGACTTCTTCGTAATTCAAGGCATACTTGAGGCGGTTACGCAGGAAGATAACCAATGGGAGACATTCACGCAACTTGTGTGGGCCTGGGGAAGGACGAGGTGCCTGCACAATAATAGAATGACAATGATCAATACAAGTAAAAGAATGGATAATCATTGACTTCAGGGCAATATCAAAGGCTCATTATTACATTTGATTGATTGTAGGTGCAAAAATTTTGCCATATTTTACATTTCCTATTTGTATGTCTTTGGTTGCTTTCCTTCTACAGACATGAAAATCACTGCTATTCATTATTCAAACTTCTCATTTCTTAAAATTCAACTCTTCGATATTTGTTTTAATAAATCAGTTAAACAACAAAAAATTCAAAAAAAACAAAGGTGTATTAAAATGATTTTCCAGAATGAGAGATCAAAAATAAAGTGTCACAACTTCACATAACACTATACGATTCTTGTGTTTTTAGTCCACATTTAAAAACTTGTAAGCCTTATGAAACCTCGTTGGAATTGTTTTTCCAATCTACAATGTCTAAAAAATTCTGCAAAGCATTCGAAGAGTTTGCTAAAGAGCAAAAAAGCAATAGTGGACAAGAAACCTTTTAAATCGCTGTTTACTCTTGATATTTTTACACGAAAATAATTAGTATGACTCTGAAATGCATACATCTAGATGCAAGACAAGATATAGCTGCAAATTTAACACAGATAAAATAAAATGATACGATAAATACTTTGTAAAAGAATAATACTTACGAATGAACCAGACAATTTATCCAACATCCAATGTTTGGGAGCATTGAGACGCTTAAGGTGCTTCTTTGGGCCACGAGCCTAAAAATAACGACATGAACCCATGGTTTAATATTCGTTCTTTCAAATCAGGCATCGATATTTGTAAAATATTCGTTTATTGTTCATGGATGAATCGGATTTTGGAAGTAAAATCTTGGATACTCACCATGTTGGCGATAAGAAGGAAAGAGGACCCTTCCCAGTATGCACTGCGCCGATCACCATTTTGACATCCATGATACTTTGCGTTCATAAATTACACAGGAAACCCAAACTAACATTATACGAAGACTACAGGAATCCCAAACTATCAATACCTGAAAACACAGGGAACCCAGCCTTTTAATTTTAATGACATCTTGCAAAACTTTTTTTTTTTTAATTTTAAGCTTATTTGAGAGAAGAAATTAAAAAAAACTTACATACAAGAAAATATCAGCAAGAAGATTCGGCAGCGATATATCCAAATATCATGATTGCTGAACTTCTTTTCAATGTATATTCTTTTTTAAAAAGTTAACAGAGTAAAATACAGTAGATAACGACTAGTTTTGGAACTAGTTTGGACTGCGTCGGTGTTTTTTAGTTGAAACAAATGTGTCGTAGTAGATAATTTTATCATCGTAGGTGTGAGAGTAAAATACACTTGATTCTCAACAAAGAGCAAAACCGAGCCATCAGTGTATTGTAATAGCTACGGGATATATAGACATCACTATCAACGGCCGTGGAGGTTCCTACCAACCCCTGAACCATGATCGAGCCAATATTAAAATGAGAACTACGAACCCCCTAATTTATAGATCATTTTAATTTTATAGAAGTTGGAAGCTTTGTCTCTTTTGGTTCAGCAAACGAGTCTGGCTTTTTTTAGTTCCGTTCGACAGAACTTTGTATCCCCCTGGTTAAAATCCTGCATCTGCCACTGGAAGTTAGTGAGTGCATTTGGGATACATATTTATCACCTAGCATCAGTTCCGCGTAATATGGCTTGAGGATATTTTTAAAAAAACCGTTCACTGCCGTTTTTTAAAGCGTCGTCTTCTCGCCGATAAAGTCATTACATTTAAGGTACTTTTTTGGGAAAAAACTTGGTGTTAATCGACTGATCATCCGATAACTGACTGAGCAAGCTAGCCAAAAACCCTTTCATTGCCGTAAAAATATTTCAGTCCCAAATAAGTTCATAAAGTGTAAGGAAACACTAAATTGCCTTACGGAAAAAAACTAGATGAGTACTCAGTATCACATCACGTACTGACTAAAATCCTCGCCGGAGGATATGGTAGATTGGTACCACGAATAACTCCTTTCAATGTGGTTTTTTAATGCGTCGCAGTCAAAATCTTATAGTCTCTTAGTTAACAAAAATAAAACAGCTTTTTCCGTGCTCCGTTCAGTAATCACACGCAGGAAGTGGCGTAAGCACGAAAGAAGTGTAAAGAGCTCACACTTCTTGTGTGCTCACGGTGCTTCCTAAGTGCTTTATTTACTGAATGGAGCACAGAATCGAAAAAGCTGTTTTATTCATTTTATTTTATAGCTATTATATTTTTTCGGCATTGAATTTATTTACGCAAGAAAGACGATCGCAGGATCTAGCTGCACTTTGCGCGCGCAGATGGTGTCATGAGTGTTCCTTTCACTAATAAAGCACAGTTTTTTAACAATCAGCGCGCGCGTACTATCTTAACTATATACGACGGGTGTCTTGAAGCCATTAAGTGCAACATAAAAACGCCCATTTCAGTGCAGTTGTTCAAAAACCTTTTTTCAAATGAAAAATGCCACTAAAGTGTAACACAACCCCGCCAAAACCCCATTCACTGAAGTTATTTCAAAACCTAGATCTTTCTAATTGCCAAGGGCAAGAATGGAAATGACCTGACAGTTTTCAAAAAACAATGACAAACGAGTGTGCGTTACACGATTTATCTGCTTTACTTAAGCATCCTGTCTGCGATAAGCTGCAGCGCGTTTTATATAATAGCTCCTTGAAGGCTTTGCAAGGTGATGAGTGTACGACAAGATCGTTATCTTAATGAGTCCCTTGGGCGCGTGCCGGATCAAGCCCTTCCGATCCTATGATTCAAGATAAGATGATATTTAAACGGAATAAAGGAGCTATGTACTTCAATAGATTATCAGACAGCGAGAAAAATACGACTGATTTCAAGCTGAATTCATTTTATAACATTTGAAGAAATCGATAGTTGGGAGAGGGGAGGGGAGGGAAGGGGAGGGGAGGGGAAAATCAAACCTTCCACCCACTCCTGTCATTTACTCGTTGACCACGTGTCACAGAATGGAATGCAGGGCAGATCTCAACACAGGGTGCTCACCAGTGAGTTTCCACTCAACAGCATACCAATGTTATTGATTCTGGAGGAATGCTACCGCTTTCCGCTTCTTGCCTGTAAACAAGCCCTTAAGTAGTCAACAACCCAAATTACGTGTGAACCTATTAACAAATCAACACCGGTAGCATGTCAAAGTCACACGTTGACACTTAAATGGCTTTTTCGATAATCGACTCACGCCCTTGTGTGGTTGTTGGGTCGAAAATCCGGAATGGAATGAAACTGGATCTTGGACCAAAATTAGTCTCAGTGCTGTTAGTTAAATTATAATTTCGAGGTAAAAGTTTGTAGTGAGTAAGGTCAGATTTTTTGGTAGTTTTAGTAGGAAATTTTCAAACTTCGGTAGTCTTAAGTCGTGTACTGTTTGCTTATGTTATCGGTGATGATGGTATTTCCTACACATTCTTGAATCCATTTCAACAGATTATACTCGTAATTGCATCAACCAAGGCATGTAATCACTCATCGTGTTTGTCAACAAGCTTTACGGCCATAAATTGCAGTACGATAAAGGTCAATTATACTGTAGATCAGCGAGGAAAAAACACAGGAAATTCTTTTTATGTTGTGCTGTAAAGCGTGTGTGAGAAAAGCACATTACAATCAGCTTTTGTAGTTACATGGTAACTAACATACCTCTCCATTTCAACCCCTCCCTTCTCCCATTAAAAATAGAAAAATCCTGGGGATTGATCTGGATTGAAATTTAAACCCAATCCTGATAGCTTAACAGAAAATAGTAGTTTGGGGGGGGGGGGGGGGGGGGGGGGCGATGGGGGGTCATTTTACACAGTAAAATCCTAATTTAATAAAATGTTATTCGAAGTGAACGTATCCACATTTTTAAAAGTAAAACTATTCACCTGGAAAGGATGCCAGATGTTCAGTGCGCATGAAACTCTTTATATTTTATGCCGTATCCCAGAGTAATTTAGACTTTCTTTGCACAAGGCCTTCTTTTACCTGCGAATGAAAGGGAATTACGCAATTATGAGAGAGCATAAGGGCCACACAAAGTGATTTTGGATACAATCAAAAGCCTCTCATACGTTAATTGCCAAACGAGTGGAAAAATTACGAATAGTATTATCGCGAAGGAAAAAGGAAATACTTACCACATCAATCAAAATTCTTAGGGTAAAACTTTTTAGGAAGGAAGTAAGGAACAATAGATACCCCAATTGGCGACGTGTTGTATGTTTGTACACGTGTGTGAAGCGCGTTGTTGGCGATATCGCTATTCCATAATTAGAAGCCTCGCTGTTCAAGGGACAGAATCCTGCCCTCGGAATCTTGTTGTGGTTGATTAAGAAAGATAACAGCACGCGCTGAAAACTAAAATTAGCATCTAAATGGGACAGAATGGGTTGTTTAGTGTAAAAAAGAGAATAGAAGTCCATGTCCAATTTACTGATCATTATCGGGCTCTGTTCTGCTAAGTGTCGGTAAAAGAAAGCTAAATTTTTCTATGCATTGATTAGACAAACGCTTTGTTCCAATCATAGCCTAAAGTCTGACTTAACCAGTTAGACATTTGACCCATCTGTCTCAATAACTTTAAAAATATATTCTGCTTGCTTGCCTGCTATAAATCTTGATATAATCTTACTCTTTCTTCTGCCCACCTGTCGTAGATAGGTAATATTTTGGGGTCAATTTCTTAAATGCACCGAGATAATTTTTTTAAAGAAGCATGTTCTTTAGAGAAGGACTTGCGGCTGAGGCCTCGAGGGAAGGGGTGGGTTAACAGTACAATTTGAACCAGTGTTCGTAAAATATTCCTTAAAAATAACTTCAGGGCTTTAGTTGGGTTATTTAATGCGTAAAATCGTGCAGTATAGTTCCTAAGTAATTTGAGCTATTAAAACATTCCTTTGGATTTTGTGTTTGAATTATTGTTGGCATTTCAATTAAGTTGGTAAATAGTTGAGACCACACGAACTCAAAAAAAGAAATTCAGGGGAGAATACAGGGGTGCGATGCGAGCCCCCTTAACATCAATCGGAATCTATGAAGTAAAAAGACTACGAGCCTCCTAATTAGACGCATATATATAGCCAACACGAAATTCAGCTTTTGACTTGAGTCAGAACAGATCTTTCTTTTGAACCCCTCTTATGATTTACTCAGTTATCATGAAAAATAAATCAAGTCAAGAATTTCGGCCTCTCTCTCGACAAGAGTTGACTTTTCATAAGTAAATAAGGTAGATTTGTGAGGAGAACGCTGCTCTTTAGACAGAAGAAATATTAAACAGAAAAATGCTGTCAGATTTAAGGTATCTTTTATAAAGTGCGGAGGGTTGTAGTTTTATATCCCACACACGACTAAAGACGTCTGGGTCTCACTCTCGCATTAAAAGCTAGCTGGCTGGAATCCTAACGTTTGTCATTCGGCGCCGCCAAAACACCATTTTGCTTTGCGTTTAGTGTCATGACCACCGCGATGCGTTTCATTAACGACATTTCAAAAATCGAATCAAAAATTCTTCGAATTCATRAGCTAATTTTCCAAAACCATAGGAGACTTATTACACAAATAAACTAAAATGTGCCTGCATTAGATCTGCGCATCGCGAAGCCTGACTTAAATTCGTCGTAAACATCTGATGCGCTAGAGACGCTTGCTTTGCGCGCCACTTCAATTCCGGAACCCCTTGGGGCGCCTATTCAATCTATAATTGACAGGCAAGTAGTAAAGGAGAGTTCTCCATTAGGAATCTACCTTTTGGTTGTTAATGCATTAATAGAATCTGCGCGCCGGGCATTGTTTTTAGAGTTACTCCCTCAAAACCTTTTCAAATAGTTTCCTGTTTTTAATACTAGGTCTTTTCTTGATAAGCCTCGAAAATAATCAGTACATAATATAGTTATAGTAATATATAATATATAGTAATATAGTAATATATTGAATCAAAACTGTAATTGCAAAGCTTCAAGCAAAGGATCGCAGGATGTTAGAATGCCTTCGTTTGTTATCCGTATTGACGCTTGGAATTTTGCAAACATGGATCAGAAGTGTATGGTCTGCAGTAGTTGGTACTGGCGATATTTTCAGTTTGGTTTAGAGGAGTAACTGTACTCTCTCTGTCCTGTTCCCTTGTCAACCTTTATCATAACGTGATTTTCTGAAAATAAATAAAAAAGGAATAAAACGATGAAATTTCTTAAACAGGATCACCAATCGTCGGTAAACCTAACTCGGAATCCTGATATGCCATGTAGTCAAACTGGCCAGTGAGTTTCGACTGGTCACCACAGGTGTAAATTATGGAAGGAAAAAAACAACTTAAAAGATTTGGAACTTTCAAGTCTTTGGCCACTAAAAAAAATGTTGGCTCGGATATTTATAAGTGGTCAATCAAGTAGAGATTCTACGGTATCTTGACAGAATGCTTCTGATTAGTCTTAAGATTGTTGCGCAATACCCTGTATTCGAAGATGTCTTCCCTACTATACTATGCCGACTAGTTGGGTACAGAAAAGACATTTAAAACTCACAAGCAAGGTTGCGCAATGCCATATTGTTAGTACTGCGTACTGATTGCAAGTATAAAGTACGCAGGACTAGACGCACAATTATTTCTCGTTTCGTTGAGCGAAGCTTGCGCATCTGTCGGAAAACCGCTGCAAATCGGTGCTAGTGACAGTTGGTATCACGTGACAATAAAAAGTAAGATGCAAGGACACAAACCCGAGACCCCAGGGGGAAGAGGCGACGTGGATAAAACGTTGCATGTGACAACGGATCTGGGCCCGGTTGTACGAATGGTGGATAGTGCTATCCGAAGGATAAATCTTAAATTAAAATTTATTGGATAACAGTATCGAGATATCCATATAAGGATTTATCCATCGGATAGCAGTATTAACCCTTCGTACAAACGTGCCAAGAGAACTATTTCCCGCAAATACACGACGTCCTCACGATACCATGTGATAAGATCGAAAACGCACGTTCAAGGAACATTTTTCAATTTCATCTTTATCCTATAATAATTTACAATATTATTTTACCTAGCGAACATCGTTATTACTCACGATAACCATGCGCTTAAGTACCAAAAACGTAAAGCGATCAATCCGAATTTCCAATCTGAACTGACGGCGAAAGCTTTAGACATAATCCCCTGGCTTGGGAGACTGACAAACGCTTCGGGATTGATCTTGATTTAAAATATAAATTACATTTTTTTCTAATCCTGGTAGTCAATATTCCAATACTGTTCTTTGAGCGCGGCATTCAAAACAATTGTCATATTTGAAGATTACTTTCAAATATCGATATCCGCACGACCAATATTTGCGCGTTAGCTGAGTAGTATAATGAAAATTGCGATATTTAAGTAACTTTATATTTAGAGTGGAAACGCGGAAATGACCAGAAAAAGTGCCCGTATTAAGCAGGTCGATCTAAGAGTAACTGCAATCCACTGAAACGATCAAGCGAGTGTTCGTACTAACAGGGTGTCCGTATTAAGCAGGTCGATCTAAGAGTAACTGCAATATACTGAAACGATCAAGCGAGTGTTCGTACTAGCAGGGTGTCCGTATTAAGNAGCGAGTGTTCGTACTAGCAGGGTGTCCGTATTAAGCAGGTCGATCTAAGAGTAACTGCAATATACTGAAACGATCAAGCGAGTGTTCGTACTAGAAGGGTGTCCGTATTAAGCAGGTCGATCTAATATTAACTTCAATCCACTGAAACGATCAAGCGANTTAAGCAGGTCGATCTAATATTAACTTCAATCCACTGAAACGATCAAGCGAGTGTTCGTACTAGAAGGGTGTCCGTATTAAGCAGGTCGATCTAAGAGTAACTGCAATCCACTGAAACGATCAAGCAAGTGTTCGTACTATCAGGGTGTCCGTATAAAGCAGGTTCATGTAAAAATAGATGCAAACCACTGGGATAAAGCAAGTATCCATAATCAGAGCAGGGCCGGTGTCCGTATCAAGCGGGGCCGAAGAACTTCGACTGTACTCGTACGATTGGAAGGGCCTTACAGCATTTCATAGTAAACACAGCCAGACCGTCATATCATGACTGACACTAGATATACCGCCGCACGTTATTCGTGCATTGTACGAAGTCTGAAAAATATATATCATGGTAAGCAGTGAGAAACACTGAATTCCAGCCATGCTCATAATACGTTTTACATTCTGGAGGTCTGTTATGCAAGGTGGCACATTATAACGGATAACTATCATAGCGCTAAATATTGTACTCACTGACAGAATATCTAAAAGTAACTCTACACTATAGTGGAATATCTTGCACATAGATATACGTCATTCGATATACGCACGATAATCATGCATTATTTACAAACGGCTGTTTGCTCTATTCCCTACTCATCGTGTGGATGATCCCCTCGGATCCTTAAGCACGCTTTCGGTTTTTTTGGGAGGGGGAAGGGGCGTCACCCAAAGCGCACTTATGCAGGCTATCACGTGAGACGGTTACAGTCAAGGGGTATGCCATTTGAACCAATCAATCTTGTTGGAAATTTGTTTGCTAATGGTGAGAAGAAAAAAAAGATAAAATTATGGCTTTCCACAGATGGTACACGCGTCTACCGAAAAACTAAAAAGAGTGGGAAAAGTGAATTACTTCAATTGGAAGACCGAGTTTTTCGAAACTTTCCAAATGGAATGAAATATAGCATTCGTTTTGTGTCCAACCGGAATTTCCGGTTTTTCCATGTAAATGGCGGTAAGCACCCAAGGTCGTCCCTTAACTCAATTTTTAGCGTCTTTATTCAGCTCACCACAAGGGAATGAAAGTGAGCTAAAACAAAAACATGAAAGTAATATTTTTACTTGTTTAGACTACGAGAAAATTAGTAAGGTTTTCTGAGGCCGCGCGTAGATAGAAATCCTCAAAAAACATGAAATTGTTGCACAATAAGCTACTTTATTGGTCTTACTAAGCTTAAATTCGACAAAATTCCATGTCTTTTGAAGAAACCAATCATTTTCTAGTAATTAGGCCCCGAAATAAAGAAAAAAAGCCCTCCCTCGTTAGCCAATCAGCATCGAGCATTATTGTCCTCTATATGGTAAAGTCTTTAAAAGAGCGTCATCTGAATAACAGAAACAACTTCGCGCTAATTATAACGATAAGTAGTCAACACGCAAAACAGCTGGAGGGTTTCGGCGAAGACAAAAAGCTTATAACGGCCAATATCTGGCTGTTCTTGACTCTCTGACTCATGCAGTCATAACATGCATTCTGAAGAGATCGTTGCGTTACCGTGAGACTAGGTGTTTATAATTAGCATGAAGACCATTTTAATTGCCATTTATCTTCCTTTGTTCTGCGCCTTCTAGCTTCTACGAGAACGTTTTGGGTCACTAATTGCACGGATACAGAATAACTTATGATCAAAGATGGCAAATTTTAACTTATGAAAGAGAACTGACTGTTTGGAACCTAGATAGTTTGAAGAAAGACTTTGCTTTTTGGGGCAAGTGAAAAAAAAGGGGTTTCAAAAAAGTCGAGATTCAGATAGATTGAAGCCAATCTGTTATATCGCTAATTTTGTATTTACCAAACCTCTTGAGTGGAGTGCTTTGTTTGATAACAGTTGTGTGAAAGTGAGAATTTTTCCTGTGAAAAGGAGAAGCAAAACAAGTGTAATGCATCTATTCTGAATGTCTTTCTCACTCACATACTACCATCTCACTAAAATCCTCACATCTTATTCTAGTGTGAATCTTTCACAAGTAACAAAGAAGCCATACTTAGGGCATACGTATGCTTCTGCGCGTCTCTCAAAAGGTTTTGAAACAATAAAAGAAATAATTGCTGACATATTAAGAAGGCTAGAAACATCGTAAAAAGTCCAGACTAAACTCAACTCAGCTGTTTATGATATATCCTATCTTTCATCAATAAATAAAAAATAAAAAAAGAGAGAAATTTGTCAATGAATGTGGAGAAGTAGCTCAATATGAGTTGAAAGTAGGAAAGGCGGTTGATATCCTCATTTCTTGCGGCTTTCCCCCGTGGATTTGGAAGTCATTTCCAAGTCAGCCATGACTGAATAAACTAACTAAAACTGAATAAACTTAGTGATGTGAACGACGCGAAGATTCCTAGCGCTACGGGACAATAACGGTATCGATGAACGCTAAGCTGTTAACACCAGATCGAAATGCGTGGACTGAAATACAATATAATTATGATGATAATAATAATGATTAGCATAGAACGAGTGACTAGTATATCAATAATAAATGATCTACACGAAAACAACGAAAGTCGAGTGAAAAATAAGCAATATGGTTATCGATATTTTAATAACGCGCTAATAAAAGTTGATTATTAGCAAGGGATATTCGGAGACTATAAGATTTAACGAGTTGTCTTTTTCGGGGGAGGGGGAAATCTTCATAATTTCAAGCTGGGAAAGCGATCTTCACTGTCAGCTGACGAGGCATAGGCGACTGACATTGGTTGTACGGTGCTACTGTATGGACTGAGTAAAATCGAATGAACTAAAATGGAATTAAGTGGGAAATAAACAAATGAGCAAAACAAAAAATAWAAAATTTCGAGAAATGGAAAAATTCGTTTGCATAGTAAAGGTGCAAAGAAAATGACGAAATAGTTAATAATAAACAGAGACAAGTTGGAAAATGAAGCGAGAAAGCAAACAAATAAAAAAAAAAAAAAAATGGCGGGGAAAAAGATCAAAATTAGAGATGAACTCAAGAGATATCGATCATTTAAAATGAGCAAATAAATGGACGAGGCGGTGAAAAATGAAAAAAAAAAAAAAAAAGAATTAAATGATCAAGCATCGGTGTGCTTATAGGGGAGTGACGTCAGATAATAGCTATGAGCTCTGTGAGATCCTACGAGATCAGTAGGACAGTAGAGCTCGACAACTAAATGACATGGAAAATCTCCAAGGGCTGTCCCAACACAGTTATAATCACTATTATTCAATACATATGTTCTCATTGGTTGGATATAACTACAGAGTTATCAAGGCCTAAATAAAGCACAACGACTATCCTGTTTATAACGAAGACTGTTTTAATTTGAAAATCCCTTTTCGATAGCTGTACAAATAACAATAAAGCCGTAATGACAGGGGAAAATTGGACAGAAAAAATATTTCAAATTTTGGAATACCACATTTTTTTATCATCAATCCTCATCACCGACCACGAAAGGGTTTCTGATAAATTATGGGCTAGATTAGCTATATATTGTAAGCACTCATTTACTTCACTGTATCTGACTGTTTGTTCCATACTGTTTACTGTACTCTTAATGAAAACTTTTGAAAATGCCGATTTTGTATAACCAAAGGCATGGAAAGATGACAAACTGTAATCCTTAGCACCAAAACACCGCCTAACTGCAAAACAAAAAAATTAATATTGCCAATTTTTCATAATCCAATCTTAGGGAAAATTTACCAAAGACTTTGAGCTCAAAGACAGCAATGTCATAGGAATGTATTTGGATAATTTCTTGGTGTGCAGTACTCGTAAAGATAGCGTGAAAAGGAAAATAAATGTACCATTTTCACTTTCAAAGTTTCGTAATCAAAAATAATTAAAGAAATTTTGAAGCTAAAAACGCGCGCTTTTCTCAGACTCTGTGGGCTGAGAGAAAATGAAATTTTCCATCAATTTATCTCAATAATTCCCGTAAGTGTTTTTCAATGTCAAAAGATTTAATATCTAGCTAGGCGTCTTAAGTCAAGTAAGCTAATGAAAATTTTTCGAAGATATTTTAAAAATCCTATCGTAAAAGCGCACTTGAAAAAAAAATTTACAAACACAAGCAATTCTAAATGAAGTAGGTTTGAAATAATTTAGCGAAAAAAAAAATGGAATTCAGAATAAATTCTTCTGTTATATTTAGGAATGATTTTAGTAATAGCTACAATGAGTGGAGCAAAACCTATCGCCCGATAGGAACATATTAAGAGAGTCGCGCCCGCTACTAAGTAATTTCCAAACCGACTGCTAATAAGCCTATTACTTGCAATGGAAATTTTCAAAACTGTTTTACCTTCGTAATTGCAGAGTTTATACATTGTTTTGGATAACTACAAAAAAACCCGAGACTGTATAAAACAAAATATTTTTATTTTGAGAAGAAGTTTCCGAAGTGACGCGCGGAACTTATGACGTTCATTCTCAACTTTGGTCGCCGTGTCGTTTAATCTTTCCCTTGGAATTTTAGCGTTCGCGAAGTCTTAAATACTTCGGTGACAAAACTCTCTTCCTGCCGGTCTTATCTGTCTATGAATAATTCTTTTCTTCTTTTTTCGCATATATTTGTCGCTAATGTCCTACAGCTGACTGAATTAAGTTTGCAGAAGAAACCATTGCATCCTTCCTTAGAGTTCTCTTCCTAATAAAGTTCAACTCTGCATCCTTTTTTCGTGGTTAGAACCAATTTTTTAACGTTTAGGTCTTGGCCAGAGTTCGTCTAAATACATAAAGTTAAACAGTCGTCGAGAACGAGTATTTACGTATCCCTCTATGTATATGTATAGATGCAAATATATAAAGCCTGAATTGCTAAACACTGTTTCTTCTGAGTTATGTATGACAAAAACTGAATCCATTGTGCTCGCAAAGCGTGGCGAAACCGTGCTTAAGAGTGAGCCTCTCTAGTCGAAGGTTTATTTTGCTGTATGAGTTATACCACACAACTTGGTTTATCAATGAGAATCTTTTTCAGGGATTAGGAAGAAGATTGCGTACAGAACTGCTACAAGTAAGTAAACAGAAAGTACGAGATTCATTTAGTTTCACGGGCAACGCTTTCAAATTCACTCTCTCGCTCAACACCTCCGTTTTCTAAAGCAAATACTTTACGAACTTGAACTCAGCATAGTATTTTTCATTTAACACACCTAGACTATCCAGATACTCAAATTCTAAGTGAAATAGGGACATATTTCTCGTTTTTGAGGCGTAAAAAGAGTCGAGGCTGAAGAGCTTAGTACACAATTAGGTGAAACGAAGCGAGACGCCTGTGTCCTTATTTTGAGTTCCGTCGTTTCAAAACTCATAAAGCCGATTCTAGTAACACGAAAAAACGCGTTTGAAAGATTCCCCAGCTTTCTTAACTCGAAAACTTAGCACGAACATACCTCGTGGAGTGTTCCGACGTCTTCAACAACGATTTCCTTATTGTCAATACCGACAACGTCTTTATAGTCAGGAAAGCAAAATTTCCGCTTTGAATTTTAATTTTATGTAGTCATATTCCCAATTTCGAAACTAAAATGTATGTTTTCGAACGACAGCGTTAATTCCTTGTCCAAGCTATTCATAAAGACTTCAATATTAAAGGAAGAGTTTTGACTTGAGTCGATCTATAGGAGCGGGCAGTTTCGTTTAAGATTCATTGATCTTCACGTGTCGCGCTACCGCATGTCGCTTGAGCATTTTAGTGGCTTCTTTAATGTTCTTTGGCTCTAAGAACCTCGAAATATCCGTTTTGGTAGTGAATATGCGGATCAAATAAAGGATAGATATTTTTGGACTACATATTGCTGCGTGTTTTTAAGTGCGCTATTAGCCATCCCAGTAGGCTCAAGGGTCTTTTGTTAGCTTCAAAAGCGAACCAATATTCATATCAGGGAAATGGAGATTATTGGTCTATGAGACTGTTATCAAGAGTGACTCGTGATTAAAGAAAGTACAACAGAATGCGGCTTACAATGTTTGAGGATGCCTTTTTGTAGTTCGGGTATCTATTTGGAGTCGGAATAGTGATGAAAGTTCGTGAGGAAGTCGACGAGAAGTGCTTTTAAGACCAAGACTCTAGGGCGCTTTATTAGGTGAAGATAAAAATTCATAGGAAATCCAGAATATCTTTCCGCTGATTTTAGTTGTCATCCGTAAGCAACGATGTCTATACAGATTGACCTTGCCAAGGGGTTTGTTTTCTCTTGATACGTGTTTTGATTCTTTCTAGAGGCAATTTACACTAAGAATTTTAAGTTTTCTTTGAGATGGTTATGATATCAAATAACGGAACTTTGGAATTTTTGCAAACATTGTCCAACTACACAAGATAAACAGCGCTTGAGACCTTTCTTTAGAGCAAAACACACAAGACAGATAGATAATATGATATTCAATTGTGTTATTAAAGCCAAACCGGCAAAAAAAATATGAGTAATAACTTTGCAGCTTAACACATTAGCAGTATTTCTGAGACCTGTTATACTAAAGTTGTTTTCAAATGTTTCCAGTGAATTAATCATTCGACTGTTCTTTGCTATAAGGACTAAATTTCTAGACTCAAAAATTTTTTGGATGAATATTAGAGTATTTCTTGGGTTTTCTGAAAACTTCTTAACGCCTTCGTACCTTGTGATTTTCAAGGATCATCCCACTCTAAGATCAAACAAAGAATTTAATAATATCTACACTTCTTATCTATCTTCTGATTCAATTTTCTGAACAGTTTGGTCTCATTTGCAATTGTGGTAATGAGATTTTTGCGAATACAAAAGCAGCAATTGACAGCCAGCCAATCAGGAAGGAACTCTTAGTTGTCATTTGCATATTCTCATCGAGGTAGCGTTGCCATTGACGACCAAACTCCCCGGGCAAGTTGAGCCAATCAGCTGCGAAGCGGATCTGAATCATGATTAATTAAGGAATAATGGTATGTCACTCATCAAGAGTTTGACCAATTGGATCACAGTAATACAACACATCTTTCGACACGTTTCTCGGCCTGGCGGTAAAATAGCCGAGTTCTCGTACAGGAACATTGAGAAGTCAGAATGGCAGCACAAACTAATCCTTACACTAGTTCTATCTCGACCACACAGAGTGAATCAAGGATGCAAAGTCAGCAGCCAACTATTACTTACCGTGAAGAACAACCTGTAGTGAAGTACGAAAATTTAACCCAACAACAACCGACTAACGGCGAACAACGAGTTAGTAATCTGACTAACCATCAATGGGTTGTACAGGACCACTCAGGAGCTGTAGGTTGGCCTCCAAATTCAATGACCGTTCAAGAAGTCAAGCCAATGCTAAGAGAAGACGGCTCACCAGTTGTAATAACTACGGCGTCAGGTGCGACGCTCGTCCATCATCGGCCTGGTCACTCCGGAATGATGGAGCAGGTTCGCTGGTCGGCACCGACTGCAGGATCGCCGGATCACACACGTATTCATATTAACGCTGCACTCCAGCCTAATCCACCTACGACAGTAACCGTCTACCAGAGTGTAAATGGTGCTATGACTCTACCCGCCAGTTACGCTCCTTCGAGTCAAACCATCCGAGAAAATCCTTCGATGCAAGATACTCAACTTCAAGGTCAACACGATATTATGGAAGGAGATGAAGAAACTCCGACTTCAGATGACCTGGAGCAATTTGCTAAGCAATTCAAGCAGCGACGAATAAAACTGGGATTTACACAAGCAGACGTAGGCCTTGCTCTAGGTACGTTGTATGGGAATGTTTTCAGTCAAACTACGATCTGTCGTTTTGAAGCTTTGCAGTTGAGCTTTAAGAATATGTGCAAGCTAAAACCATTACTGCAGAAATGGTTGGAAGAAGCGGATAATAATAATGGCTCGACTGGAGTCATGGATAAGATGGCAACCCAGGGAAGAAAGAGAAAAAAGCGAACATCCATAGAGGTAGCAGTCAAGGGAGCTCTGGAGAATCATTTTTGTAAAAATGCCAAGCCATCAGCTCAAGAAATTACGCACTTGGCCGACAACTTAGGCCTTGACAAGGAAGTGGTTAGAGTATGGTTCTGTAATCGAAGGCAGAAAGAAAAACGCATGACAGCAACTGTTGGGAGTAACAACGAAGATGAGGAGGTTATGCACCCATCTGTAGTAACCGTAGCATCCATGCAAGCAGTCAGCCAGTAGTGAGGAACAATATTTTGAGGTTAATCTCTAAAGACTCTAGAGTCAAACGACACTATGAACGAAGTGTTTTCTACTAAAGTATCGAGCTGAATCTATCTCCTCTACAGTAAAACACGAACGAGAGGAACTAATGTGTGAATTCAATTTTCACCAAAGACTTCCAACTATAAACGATGTAAACAGACGAACAAATTTAGCCACTTACTAGAGTAATTGTTTTCCTCGAATCATGCTAAATAATTCCTAAGAGAACAATGCGACCGTAAGAAGACATAAGAGAATGACTGCTCTTGATGTGTGGAATTGTAAATAGCATCCTTGTGTATCTTCATTTACCTGTAAATTTTTGTTAAGTTTAAATGTGGTAGTTCAAATGGCATACAGTACCAGATAAGTTATAATTCCATAAGACATGATAATCGAACCATGTTTTTTTTCTTCTTTCGAGTCAGATGGTAGTACTCTGGATTTTAAAGAAAGGCATCAAAACTCCTGCAGATCTGAGACCAACCCTACACTCAGTTCAGTTCTATGTATACTAAGCTTTATTTCTGAATGATAACAGTGCAATCAGTGTTCCTAATATCATATACATAAGAATCGTACTTTTCTATATAAATGAGGTTGTAATTCCTCAAACGTTCACGTCCAACTTATTAAAGTTTTTATGTAGAATAAGAAGTTCTGCTCTGTTGTATGCTGTTTTGCCTATCATCGAAGCCACTTTGATGTCCAACTTAGACCTGTTCCTTTACATGTCTTTCGTACAAAACTATTTATGTTTTTCATCCATGTGTGTATAAAGTTCAAGTAATAAACTATGTAGTACTATGATTTTCCAGGGTTCTTTCTGTAGTTTAACTATTCGGTTGTAAAGGAAGTCGTGGTCAATGAAAGCATTTTATTCAAGCTGAATCAAATAAGAATCAATTCAATTCTGATGTATGCAAATGGATACAGTTTTCTCATTCAAATTCGTCCATATTTTAACTCGATGTTTCTTGATTTGTGAACGAGGACTAGTGTACTACGAACGAGTAGCTCTTCCTATTACGGCCAGAACTTAACAAAGCTGTTACAAAGGCAAGGAATGGCGGACCTAATACCAACTCTCTCTCCTCCCTACTAAAATCAAGCGTTGTTGCTGCTCTTTCGTTTGAAAAACAGACTCATATAAAACAAAATTCAATATCGTAAGTATCGGCGAATGGTTATTTATATTTCATCAGGAATGCCTTATTACCAAAGTTACCTTTGAGCAAAGGTTATTTTTACATTTTTTTAGGGAGTGATTTTTGCATTAGGTATGTTGCTTTGAGTCGTTACAGTCGACATCCCATAGCCACGTTGCTTGCTGTTACATTATACACAACAACTCCTTATGGCCTGTTTCTGTTATTTTACCTCGAAACACACGTTTGCCCTGCTTAATGTTTTAAGGAAATTCGATCAAGCCAAGATATATCTTATAACAAGTGTTGATTTTAGGATTAGTACGAAGAAAATAACCAGACGCCGGTAGTTTTAATATATTTTTGGACACAGCCATTTCGAGTTTATATTGTTTTCAAGACCAGGTGTGTTACGTACAAAAGGCATAGCCAAGACGTTTTTACAGAGATCCATAGACTCACCCTAAAATTATTTACCTAATTCTTCTTCCCCATCCAAATTAATTCACCCTAACACACAGATCTATAGTAGCCAACAGAACGGTCTTTAGGGAATTATACTATTTGAAATGTTAGGCTCAAATGTTCTGCTTTCTAACAATAGATTTACTCGCCTTACAGCGTAAAGATGACAATTTAGAAAGTCTCTGAACTTGGCTCTCGTGTAGAAGTGAAAATATGCTTAGGTTATTTTACATAATTTGAGGAATATATTCATGAAGATATTTAAATTCAAAAGCGCTTTTGGAAAAAGCGCATTCTATAGCATAGTATTTTGTATTCGTCCGTTGTTTGGAAACCTGCTTGCGTTCAAGTCAATATTCTGAAATGAAAATATCTAAAATCATTCCCTACTAAAAATAATGAGTCACTTGTTTCTTGTTTCTATTACACTACTTCTTTTCATTTTTTCATTATCCTTGCTCAACTTTACGAGATATTTCTTTTTTGTAGTTGCATATCAACGATTTTACACGAAAGGAATTTGTGGCGTCCTTACTTAATACAATAAATTTTCTTCTTATAGGCCTTGAGTGCTGTTGTGAGCTGGCAAATTTAATACGCTTGGAGACAGAACTTTTCTAAGCCAATTTGAATGAATCCTCTTCCAATTTATTCAAATATTCCATACCCTCTTTTCCTCTGAATAAATTTTTGAATTTATTTAGTACCAGTGGTATTCAAGCTTGCTTTTTAAGGGTTGATTTACTCGCTTTTATGGCAAGTCCGCGGTTTCTTTTGTTTGGCGGCCATCTTTTTGTTTCTGTACACGAAGTGTGTTAGCGTGGGCAACTTCTAAACACGTACTAGTTTCGGTAAGAAGTTTCTACGATCATTACATAAACTTGGTCTCTCTTCTTTCACGTTTAGTGTTATGGTAATAACATGAATATCTTAGCTCTGTATACGTTAACATATTTATGAGTGAGAGCGATATTTTGACTTCTAGAGCTAATTTTTTACAACAGAATTCTGGACCAAACAGAGGATTACTTTTACAAACCACATAAAAAATCATTCCATTAGTTTTAATAATGCGGCAAGACTATCGATTCTACTTGATTATTTTCGTGAAAAGTTGAAAATGTCAGCAGGTAAAGCCGAACACACACAATGCTGTTTCACTATTTATACCAGGTTAATTCCTTACAGATAAACCATAAGTGAGTATTGTTTGTGGGACAATATCAAGGTGCCTTTCTGCCTAGATATTCGGGAATTTAGAGTTCAAAATAGCTAGGTATTTTAGTTGTCGCGCTCATGGCGGGAAGTGAAAAGAGTTTTGACGATTGATGCATTGAATGTTGTTTGTACAACGAAGTGTTGACAGCTCTATAAATGGGGTTACTGGGCGTGATGCTAGACCACACGTGCTTGCTCAAGACCTTCGTATACAAACATGACTTGCTATCCCGATTAAAATTCTTTCCTATGTATTTAATAACTGCCATTTTAAACCTCGTCAGGTTTCAAACGCGTGTCAATCGGCGTCTTTGAGGGTTCTGGGCTCAAAGGGACCACGAAGAAAGCTAGGAAATCTTAAAATATTACCACAAGTAATATGACTCTATATTCCTTGATTTCTTTAAAAAGCTCAAGTTTATTGATTGAACCCCACCATCTTGTTACAGAAAACGTCAGTTATGTGTAAATTGCGATTCTTTTCGGGGAGAATAAAGAAAGTCTTTTGATTTTTTAGGTCTAACTGCCATCAAACTTAGGAAGTCTTTAGTCAAGTCTTTCATCTGTCAATATGCCTTCCTGCTGCCGCCATTAACGCTCTACTGCGCATGCGTAACTGGGTGAGCGTTTCTTTGAGGCGTTGTTAAAAACACGAACAAAAACAAGAATAATATGATTTTAAAAATCTCATAAGTAAATATCTTAGCATAATTTTTAATGCTGAGTTCTAATTGTTAAAATTCTGTTCATATGAAATTTGTTCATGTCGAAGTTGTTTAGATAAATGCTGTTTTTCAGAAAAACCCCAGATCGATTTTCGCAGCTTTGTTTTGAAATGAGGAGAAATTAATAATGGCTTCTTCGGGTATCATATAAAACACTCGTGTCCCGTAAGCCATAATAATCATACCAGCGTACTATTTGAAGCCTAATTGAGAGAAGAAGTCAAAAAGAGCTGATTTTAAATCTTTTATGAATGAGAGCCCTTGGCAAGAGATCCTACGCAAGTGTTGGTTGACATTTTAGGTGCCTTTTTATGCTTGAAATGCTTGAAAACTCTTATAACCTCGATTCCTTTGTCGAAAGAAATTCGTTTACGAAGGTTACGTTATTTTTTTWWAATATTTTTTATTTTTAAGCATATTATGGCAATACAAAGACTCCAAACCGAGATTTCTCGACTACTCTAGATTCTAGCCCAGACAGTTCCGGATTTTATACAATGGCAAATCATTAGGTATAATTCTTTTTCAAAGTAAAATGCCATTCTTGGAAGTCGTTTTGAGACAAGTTGTAATTGATATCAGTCCAACGCTCAGCAGTATACGGTACGGTATTGTTAGAATTTTTAATTGTTTTCTATTTTAGATTACGAAAACACCGACCTCTCATTTATAACGACGGATAAAATTATAAATTAAAAAGCCTGCCACAATGGAGCACTCGTTTCAGTTTTGTTGTGAAACTTGTGTTTAAATTTCACACCAAAACACAAAAAGGCACGAGGATGAAAAGTTAATGAAAATTCAAGTTAGAAGAAATTGTTTCCTGATCTGTGAATTATTTATAACTCGGTTTTTACTATTCAAAATGAGAGTTTAATAAAAGCAAATATAACCCACGAGTAAATACGGCAAATATTGCGTTTTTGTTTGTGAATGGAGTTTCAACAACAAGTGCTTGCAACCCTCGAAAAATATTCCTCAATTATGTTGAGTTTGCTGTCACTGCTATGGAATATACTACTCGAAAATGTTGAGAACATAAGAGAGTAAACAAAAAGTCACTTGTTTCAAGTAGCAAACGATTATTTAAAACTGTTGAACGAGACACTTTCAAAGAACTCTATTTGTTGCTAAATAAATAAATAAATATATATATTTATATATATATTATCTTTCTTCTAGTGGAGTGGTATAATCTTAGGATTCTAAGTTTGCTCTAACTTCATTCAATTCCAACTATCTATTATTTTTCTTCAACAATATACAAAAAGTTTGTTTTTGAAATTTTGAATGGAATTTGCAGAGAGTCATAGAAGGTTTTGAACTTTTTATTATTTTTTCACAAATTCTTTTTAAACAGTTTCACTAGACACAATTTTTCCTAATATTTTTTTCTTGTATTTTCGATTTGTTATGCTATTTCTAAACGCATGCAAGCCTTTTCCTTCCAGCTGAAGCAAGCGGTTAGGTATAGAATCAAACAAAACGGTTTCTCGGTTCTTCAGCGCGCTGGATAAGAAACATCATTAACATGGAAATTAAAAACCACAGGAGTTTGGAAATAAATTCCCTAGCCCACCTTACTATCTCTGAAAAAAGATCAATTACAATTATTAGACGCTATCTAAGTCGCTTTGATTCCTCCGAGAAAGATCCTTTATTTCAAGTGCTTGGACTCAGTTTTATTCCTTGGTTACTTGGTTGATTTAAATTTGATTCCCGTGCGCTTCAGCGTATATTTTCCAACCTAATATTTATTTCATATGTTGGTTATTCTATAAGAGCAGAGCTTATGAATAAGTAATAGTTTTTCTACGGCTTAAAAGAGCATAATAAAATACTCAAAAGGCATATTGTGAATATCTTTAATTTAAATAATCGTATAAAGAAATGGAAAATTTTTTGTACAAAACGGAACTTGGCTACCCTCAGGATATTTGGTTTATACATTTCTTAATTTTACAAACCTGCATTAATTTGTTTATATATAACATAGTTCTTTCCTAAAATACTTGATAACGTGTTCATATTTCGAGAAGAATTTCATAACTGTAGTAAAAAAATAAGCTAAAACATTCACCACGTCCTTCCTTTAGGATAGTGAGCTATCTTGTCTACGACATAAGATGGTTGATAAGGCAAAGAATTATTGTCATTTTACAAAAAATATTGACCAAAATATTTTCATTTTATATAATTTTTTAAAACCTTATTCTTTTTATTTTACTTTTTATAGATTTCAATATTTTTTGCAATTTGGGAAAATATTTCCAGCTTTTATTAATCACATTTTACATCCATAAATAATGAAACAAAACGTATTTAAAAACCATCAAATATATTCCGTTAAAGAAAAACAGAATGAGTTGGAAAAATGTGTTAGAACCTGCTCCAGTAATTTGAGAAAAGGTATAGCTTTCAAGATGCTCTTAAAACCAAATAATGCTATAATGAATGCAAACTCAAAACCATCGCTAATAATGACCTATGTTAAAGAAAATTCCAAACGGTATTCAAGTGTGCAAATTTTAATTTCGTATGAAATTTTTTGACATCGTTTAGAATTCAAGGTTGGTAAATTTAGTGGAACATTTCAGCGCATTTTTTTTACAGCTAATTACAAATCAGCATAAAGAGAGATTTTTCGTTTTAAATTATCGCACACAAAAACAAGTTGAAGGAAAGTCACGTGACTAGAGCTCACATCGTTAAAAACTCCAACATTATTCGATTTATTTTTCGTTTCTTTGCTTCAATTACTAGAAAAAAGGTTTCAATATTATGAAACATATTTTCTAAACTTATAGCATCTTTATAGATTATCCTCTTCTCTTCTTTTCTCTTGTCTTTTCTTCTTTTATATTCAGTATTTTTCAACAAGATTTAGCCTCTGAGCTTCGTCTATGCTTTCCTACCACCACACATTTTATATACCTCTATTTACTTTAAAAATCCATTTATTTACTTAAAAAAAAATGGATATTTTCTCAAAAGGAACCATAAAACAGCCTACAAGCAAATAATAACTTTTACACTTTTCATTTTCTTTTTTATCTTGTAAATCTAACATTTCATTTCTTCTATATTTCAGGTTTGAAAAGAGTCGAGAAAACAAGCTCACAGTATAGGTAGTATAAAAATAGCTGCTACAATCATATCTTTTATTTTCTTAGCATTTTGAAAAATACTCTAATAAAACTGATAAGAAATACATAATTAATGTATGAAAGTATTTATGCTTACCTTGTGGTTGAAAATAATCCAATAAATTATTTCTAATCATCTTAAGAAATAATTATTCATCTTTAATGCTTACTCATTTGAGATTACTATAAAGGTTTAGTAGTGCAATTAGCAAAAATTTGCTTGCAATTTATAGCTTAGTAAAGTTGATTTTGAGGTAAAGTATTACTTTCAGTTATAATTTTTTGAAAGATATTCAGAATTTTTTTTTTATATGCATAGATTGATGAAATATCAATACTTGGCTTGTGTTTCACCTGTGATTTTAACTGTAAATTTTATGCTCAGTTCTTTT